ATTGAAGAGCACGCCTCAATGGAATCAGTGAGTTGCTCGTCGCTGTAAGATTCAAACGGCGTGTAGCAGCGTCCGTTGGGATCATCAACAACAGAGTTCCATCTGAATACATCCTGCTGAAGCATGTATGGCTGGAACCAGTCGGCTTTGAAGTTGCGAATCATGATGTCACGGAACGTTGTCGCTCGAATTGTCTGCACTTCCTCCTCGGTGAACAGCCTGCACCAAGAAAGGTACATACATACATACGAGTACATGTGTTTTGAAAGTGAACCACCTTGTCTCCATGCTCCGCAAAACCGGTTCAAAGGCAGGAAAAGGAAGGAGCATGCGCTTTTGAGTACAGTGAAATCCAGAATAAGAATCAGCGACAACCTCTGCCATTTTAAACTACGAGTGAACTATAGTGAGGCCGGGCAGGAGGAGTGGATCGGTCAAGAGAGCATTGTAGAGTGGTGGAATTCGCTAATACTGAAAATTGCCTATAAATATACAATGTCACGTTTAGCCAACTCCCCAGAGTGCCCGGAGTGTGCAACTGCCTCCACTGAAGCAGAATTTCACATCACAGGATATTATGGTTCAATGGGTTACGCTGGCAAACAGAGCTAAGTGACCATCAGAGAGTTGCAAACAAAGCACGGTGTGCTTACAACTTCGTAGCTGATCATTATGCACAGGGTGGGTGCAGACAGAATGCAAGGATTGGCCATGCGATGGGAAATTCCGCCGCCACAGACCCCATCGACTAGTTGCACATTTGAAGGAGTAGGGGTGTACTGTTGGTGATAGGTATGGTGCTTACAACTTACCCATTCATCCTGTAATTCTCAAACCAAAAGCGATCAGAGTTGCGGATTCTCTCGTACTGGTCTTGGATAATGGCTCTAAAGAGTTCGCCCGGTCCCGTCTCAGTAGTCTCAAGAAGGCCACCTGGCCACAAGTCAATGTTATCCATTCCATACTGGGTGGAATTGGCATCGGCTTCACTGGAATTTGTGTACGTCTTCATGAGGTTGTCAATGGCCTACAGGGGAGAAGGAAGATCAAGACCAGTGGACATGGATATCAGGGACAGGGAATCCTAGCATATTGGGAGCTATGCCTAAAACACCCACATACGCATGATTTCAGAATTGGCTTCATATCATTGCAGATACAGTCGTCCCTCTCTAATCCGGCACTTGTTTATCCAGCACCCTTGCAAACCAGCACACTTTCTGGCAAAACGGATTTTTTTCGTTCATTTTCTACGCTTTAATCCGGCACTTGAATTCCGCCTCCAGCAGCGATTTTCTGCAACAAATCACTCAAACTGTACATAATTCGATTTTCTAATCCAGCAGTTGTACATCGCATACCGTCAGGGAGCATTGTAACATACACAACACATGTAACATACACTTGGGAATATCCTATGCCAGTGCATAAGATATTCCCAAGTGTATGTTGAAGACATGCATTCCACAAAGTACTTGGATTGACACAGAAAATCCCTACGTTTTGACGTACGACACAAACATGTATGTTAACAGGTGGGCCGGGTTGGAGGGCAGGATTTGATAATCCAGCACCCTTGTTTATCCAGCAGAAAATGCCGTTGCAAAAGGTGCCGGATTAGAGAGGGACGACTGTAAACATTTTAAAATTATAGTACATTTATGTAGTGTCTTTGGCACCACAGCTGAGCAGCAACAAGGTATTCCAATGCCAGAATGGGGCCCAGTTGCAATCTCAACACATACCATTGTGATGTTGCCTTCTTTTCCATACATAGTTGGATTGATGTCTCTGTAGCGTGTCACCCTCGACAAATTATAGTGCTGTCGAACCGTGTTGTAATCAGGCACACCGTGATCGCGGCCTCTCTGAATGTTGATCGCCATCAGATCTCGGCGACTGAAGTCCAGGCTTCCGAACACCTGCAGGGCCAAAAGAAAGGTGTGTTTGTGCGCTGATCCTGCGTACATCTGTGCAAGTTGTGCAAGCACTGACCTCACCTTCCCTCCACAAAACGCCCCCCAGATAATGGCCATGGGCAGGCGATAATTACGGCACAAACTTAGCCTCCTACTCTGGTTGCGTGACTTTCTGGAGAAAAGACTTTCATGCATACTGGCATATACTCACTGTATGATTTGCTGCGAGCGAATTCGTGTCTTCGGGGCTAGATAAGGTGTTCCAGAAGAAAGTCATTTTCAGAGTGGATGTAATATAATTGACTGCTCTCGCTCGTGCGAAGACACGATTTCGCTCGCAATGGCCAATATACATATACATGCACATAAGAAATCATGCACTAGTGTTGTAGTACGTTATTTTGTGTACGTCGTGTTGGTGCATGCGCGTGTTGCTGTGGTGTGAAAAGCAGTCTTCGTCTTGAGTTCATGATGTCTTCGTCTTGAGTTCGTCATGTCTAGTTGTGTTTCGTCGTCGTGTCAATAAACAGTCTTCCTAAATGTAGTTATCGTCGTCCCTTTGTATAAGTGTGGAGATGGCACGGGACTGGGAGCAGGTAGAGAAAAGCGAGTTACAACATTGGTGGCAGCGGTGATAGAAATTTGTTGTCAACTTCTGGATTCGTCCTACGTGGCCTTCGCTCCCAGTTTCCGATGTCATCTCCAGTCGTCCTATCGTCACAGTTTTGTCCGTCTTGAAGAAGTTTGTCTGTCGTCCTCGTCCTTCATCATTCGTCTCTCTCGTCTCTTGTCAGTCGTCGTCACTGGTGGTCCCGGACACGACGTAAAACTGTGCCCAGAAGAAAAGGAAAAGAAAAAGAAGGATGGATGGTCCCGGACACGACGTAAAACTGTGCCCAGAAGAATAGCTAAAAAAAAGAAGAAGAAGGACGGATGGTCCCGGACACGACGTAAAACTGTGCCCAGAAGTGAGGATGTCGACGCTGAGCAGCACTCCTGGAGATGGTGGACGACATGGCAGACGGCGTGAGGAGTTTCGTTGGTGAGAGGGTACGTGTGTTGTTGTGAACGTGAGGAGTATGTGAGTTTTGTATTTCTGTTCTCCCAACATTTTGTTCTTTATTATTTGCTCTCCTCGAGGGTAAAGAGGCGCCCGCACAGCTCGTGTGTTCTGTTCGTTTTTTGATTTGCTCTTCTATGAGGATAACTAGAGGCCCCCACAGAGCCAGTGGATTTTGTTCTTTTTGCTATTCTTATGATTTGTGCTCTCACATTTTAGAATTTTTGCGTGATCGCGAGGTGGTGTGTTGAGTGCAGTAGTTTAGAGTTTTTGAGGTTATCAGTTCCCACACGTGTGACAGCGATCGTGGCTGGTGTTCTGGGTGGGCAGACAGAATTTTTTTAATAATCTGCAGTGCAGGCAGAGGTGTTTTATTTATGGGTGTGACTGGTGTGGTATGATTGAGTGATTTGTGTGATCTTTTCCTCTTTTTACTCTGTTTTATTATTAGAATCGAGGACGATTCTACGAGGACGATTCTACTCTTGGGAGGGAGTTATTGTTGTAGTACGTTATTTTGTGTACGTCGTGTGTACGTCATGTTGGTGCATGTGCGTGTTGCTGTGGTGTGAAAAGCAGTCTTCGTCTTGAATTCATAATGTCTTCGTCTTGAGTTCATAATGTCTTCGTCTTGAGTTCGTCATATCTAGTTGTGTTTCGTCGTCGTGTCAATAAACAGTCTTCCTAAATGTAGTTATCGTCGTCCCTTTGTATAAGTGTGGAGATGGCACGGGACTGGGAGCAGGTAGAGAAAAGCGAGTTACAACACTAGCACGTCCCTGCTGCACATTAGATGGCCTGTTTGCTAGTCCAGCCAGGAAAGCATAACCCAGATGCAGTCACAACAATACAAAACCAGAACATATTCCCAGGTCCAGACTCCTAAGCACGTTTGGGCCATGGCCATGATTGCTCTAACATTCTGAGTGGATGGGCCCATTGCTATGCCTCTGACAAGACTAAGGCTTAGTGCACCTGAATCAAAAAGCTTCCCTCACACTTTTTCCGACATGACTGTACATCTCACCCCTCACCCTCCACATGCAGAATATCGCTGCTACATGTACACTACTGCTTGTGCTAACAACACAAATAGTGCTTACAAATCCTCGGAGGTCCTCAGTGACGATATTATCCTCTCGTTCCGTGATTTGCTTTGACAAGCCGAACAAGATCTCATCCACGACATTCACGCTGCCTTCCGTGATAATGTCCGGGGAATTCCAGTAGGACTGGCATGTTCTGATGGCAGAAGATGATGAAGTGGAGGATGGCTTCAGAGGGCGGAACTCACACTTCCAATCCGAGTTGTTTGTTGGAACTGCTCCTGAAGACGAATCTCTGTGGATGAACATCACAAAGATGAGGGAAAGAACTTTTTTTGCAAATTGCTTCAAACGGTAGGCTCTAATAATATCTAAGACATCGTCTACGGTAGGAAATAGAAGAGTTCAAAAATATGTACATGTACAGTGATGTAGGAGTTTCTTAAAAAAAATACTAATAGCTGCAGTACCAGTGTAATATTATGGTGATAGAGTACATATTGTCTGGAGCAGAGTATTTACTTATATAAAGTTCGAACCCTGGGACCTGTACCAGGCACCTGCTTACATTTCCCTGTGCAACCCATGGTAACAAGCGACCATGACTCGTTAATTAAATGTGACTTCTGTTCATTACTCATTTTTGCGATGACAGGACACATAGTCAAAACCTCGTATTGGCATGAAGGTGATTGGCCGAGAGAGCTCTTTCCTCTGTCTGTCTGTCTGTTTGTCTTTTTGTCTCTGTTTGTCTGTCTGTCTGTTTGTCTGTCTGTCTGTTTGTTTTCCTGTTTGTTTGTCTGATTGTCCGTCCGTCTGTCTCTCTTTGTCCCATGTACTTTGATCCATATTGTATACAGCTGTTACCTTTTAATATTGTTTTCTCTTTTTTCCTCCTTTCTCAATCATTCATCTCTCTCACTCTCTCACTCTGTCTCTCTGTCTCTCTCTCTCTCTCTCTCTCCTTCTCTCTCCTTCTCTCTCCTTCTCTCTCCTTCTCTCTCCTTCTCTCTCTCTCTCTCTCTCTCTCTTTCTCTCTCTCTCTCTCTGTCTCTCTCTGTCTCTCTCTGTCTCTCTCTGTCTCTCTCTGTCTCTCTCTGTCTCTCTCTGTCTCTGTTTCTGTCTGTTTCTGTCTGTTTCTGTCTCTCTCTGTCTCTCTCTGTCTGTCTGTCTCTCTGTCTGTCTCTCTCTCTGTCTCTCTCTCTCTCTCTCTCTCTCTCTCTCTCTGTCTCTCTCTCTCTCTCTCTCTCTCTCTCTCTCTCCGGTCTGTCAGAGTAGAGTAACCCCGGATTGGATTTACTGCACTTTGGCCTGCAATGTTCAAGCATTGACGAAAGCTGCATGACGTGAGCTTCTGCACGGCATCAACATGGCATTGTGCGCCTCTTCTCTTAGATACAGCATGCATACACATGAGGTAAGCAAGCTATTACAGAATTATTCACACCAAGAGAGAAAGGTGTAATCGCTGATCATTCACAAAGTACTCACTTTGCATATGCCCTGTAAGCAATCGGTGGCACCAATGTGTGCCCAAAGCGCATGGCAGATGTCTGGAAGGCATGTGTAATTCCAGGGAAGGTAGACGTGCTGTATCCGGGGTAGGGGTTGATCTCTACGCCAAGGAAACTTGGCAGCCAGATATTGAGTACAATGTTCTACAGAGGAACACACAGAGTGAGGGCACATGCGTACGAGATACGTGCACAGTGCAGACTACTGTACTACTACAACACAGAGTAGGCAGTACACAGAGGCAGTGTGCCTTAAAGCAGGGTGTAACTCAGAGTTTCATGGTAAAACCAATCATCAGACAACAGACGTTGATTAGTGTAGAAGCGCAGGTATATGGAGGCCAGCAGAGGAGATAGGAGAATCCAGTGCAGACAGTATAACCACGTGAAACATAGCTGCACAGATGCTCATCAGCATTGGAATGGAATGGTATGTGTGCATGTAGACGTATTATCACAACAGAGCCTGTGTGAGAATAATATTTAACATTTCGACTAATATCACATTTTAATATTGCTCAAGCCCATAATTATTATCCAAAAATAACATGCACCTCAAATTACTCGGTCATAAAGTATTTACCTGATGCTCAGCAATGACCCACTGTCTTGCTCGGTTGAACAGCAGCTCATCATTCAGAGGACGTCCAATGGCAGCCCACTCTTTTGCCAATCTCTGGGCATGATAGTTATGGTTTCTGAACCAGATTACTCCGAATGCGAGAAGCATCGGGTTCTCGTTACCGCGGGGATTTCCAAGCTCTGAAAGAACATTGAGAGTGACACAGTTTGCATGTTAGTTGCCTGCAGAGTGTCTTCACATAATCACCAGAGTAGTAGCAGCGGCCATGCTATGGGCATCTGCTAGCACCATCGTCATTCTCACGTCAACAGTTTTTTTCTCTCCTGATAATGGATATTCATGCGCCGTATAGGGTGTGTGGTTGCCAAGTAGTTTGGGCACTGGCCCCCCAAACATGAAGTTGCCGCTTTAATGTTCATTGTATGTGAAGAAAAGGTCCAACTTCAAGAGATCCAGATGACTTTGGTAGGGGAGGCATAGGCAACCCAGGGGAAGTGTAGATGAGCGGGGAGGCATAGGCAACCCAGGGGAAGTGTAGATGAGCGGGGAGGCATAGGCAACCCGGGGGAAGTGTAGATGAGCGGGGAGGCATAGGCAACCCGGGGGAAGTGTAGATGAGCGGGGAGGCATAGGCAACCTGGGGAAAGTGTAGATGAGCGGGGAGGCATAGGCAACCCGGGGGAAGTGTAGATGAGAGCAATGCTCTTCTGCTATGTTTTGCTATTGCAAGCGATGAGCGAACAGCGGGTCAAGATTTGTGCATACATTTCTTTCTGATACATGTAACCGCAATCAATAAAACTAGCTGAACCGACATGTGTGTACTTTATTCATGCAATGCAAAAACGGTGGAGATGATGTGCAATAAAACGATGAAAATATGAAGAAATGGTGTAGGGAAAAAATGATTCCTGATGAGTGTTGTACGAAAACTTGTTTGAATCCATATTTTTTCCCTACACCATTTCTTCATATTTTCATCGTTTTATTGCACATCATCTCCACCGTTTTTACATTGCATGAATAAAGTACACAAATGTCGGTTCAGCTAGTTTTATTGATTGCGGTTATCAAATTATTGTCTCCTCGCCGTGTGTTTAAACATTTCTTATTTTCCTTTTCCGATATATGAGTACCGGTATAAGCATTTGTTAGATGAATGACTGGATGAAGACTAGAGTGATTCTGTGTCAGTGCGTGTCAGTGGTGGTGGTGGTTCTTACTGTAGAAGCGACTTGCAGTCTTGAGCACATGATCAGCTGGTGGCGGTGGATTGGCCATGGGCAGACCAATGGTATTCTTAGCCGGGAACCTACACTCCGGCGGGTCTGCGCAGGCCATGGTCCCGTTAGTGTAGCTTCGCAGTGCGTCCGCCCAGGCTTTGGTTACACCGTAGAACAGACCACCGTCGATGTAGGGTGTGATCTCGTTCAGCTGAGCAGAAGCAGTGTGCCAAACAACAAACACTGGTGTCAGGGAATAAGTGAGAAACACGAAAAAAAGGCCGGAAGAGACCTTATGTTCACGATGTCTTATTGATTGCAGCAAGACGCCCACCATAATCAACATTTTAAAAGGAATTTCATATTTCTGCACTGTCCCTGGGAACTTCAGGACTTCAAGGTGCAGATATGCCAAGTGCTCTGATAAGTAGCGTTGAAGTGGCTCGCAGTCGTCCCGCAACACAGAGTGCCTTGTGATTGGTGAGGGATTGGCCCAGATTGCAGAAAGCCACCGGTACTGGAGTGGCTGTACAGGTAGACACCAGCCAAGCAACTGAGTCTATTGACTGCAGTCAGCTTTGCAGGACCTAGGCATTTGGTGTTAGCACTGTGACATACACCCATCCTCACCTGTTGTCTTGGATTGTTCGGCGACTGTCCTGTGGACTTGTCATACCTGGATCGCAAAAATGGCAATTCCTTGCCGCCTTCACTGTCAGGGTCATAGAGTGTATGGCCGGTGGGGATGGGAATGTTGAAGTATTCTGGAGGACAGCCTGGTCTCTGTGCATCCAGGATCTCTTCTACGACCTGCTGGCCTGTAGACACAATGAAAGTGCATGTACGATAGCCCGTCAAACTACAAGTACTAAAGGACCGAAATACAAATAACAGTTTTGTGGGTCATACTTTGCTCTTCCGATCATCGCATAGGCGGTCCTGTCTGACGCATCGTTCCTTATGTGTTGCTTTCAAAACAGATCGAGGTATCTAATGCATTCAGCTAGAGTTACACAACCAACACCCACACCCACCAGCGCCAGTGAAGATGACAAGGCATGCAACAAGCACACTCACCGAAGAAGGTCAGCAGGGCAGTTCTGTTCTGATAGGACTTCAAACCCTTGTAGCCGAGCATGGTTGCAGTGGCTACTTCGTGCGGGTTGGGACGACCGGCCGTCCACGGCTCATACGTAGAATCTGAGTAGCGTGGTGGTACACGGCGTGACAAATGCATGTCTGCAGAAACAAGGTGCATGTAACAATGATACAACCACAATTGGTAATGTACCAGATTATTTGTTCATCGCGTTCAGTCTAACAACAAATGTAAGTAGAAGCCCAGCAGGACTAGCTTATCCCGCGTTGTTCAGCCATGTTCACCACCAGCTACTTTCAGAGCGCAGTTTGGGTTTGCCACGGACTCTGAATATCAGGCCCAGTCGAGGGACTGCAGCACAACTGGGTGCGGGTGGTTCACACTGGCATGTAGGCTGTGCCCATGTCATTGCCATGCATATAGCCACGGCATTTGACAAGGTCTCGCTTGCCGGTATAGCCCCACACAGCCCCAGCAGCAGCACCAGCACCAGCACTGGATATTGGTGGTCTCCTACTCTCCTGGCCTCACAACTAACTACAGGATCGATAAATTTGTGAAGTCCTGAATGGCCAAAGATCACTGCTATTTGAGATCTCAGCTGGAGTACCCCAGGGGGAGCATTTTGGGTCTTTCCATAAGATTCCTTATCAGTATATACGTGAACAATGAAAGCGCATACCTCTCCTGTGCAACAGAAATGGACGTCTACGCTGATGACACTGTGCTTTACGGCACCATCCGATACCGTGAACTATCTGGTCCCGTCATTGCCAAATTTTCTTATCCCTTTGATGCATGGACCAACTGTTGAGCCAGAGATCTTCTGGTCTGGGGGGGGGGGGGGGGAATCTAGAGTCCAGATCAGGGTATTTTATTGATTCATGGGGTACCTGGGGAAAAAAGTGGTACGGTCAATACCGTAGTGACCGTACCGTGTCCGACGCCCCTGAAGCTGCATGTATATGTCAGCTATCAAGGACAGAACACCTCCTTACTAGTAGCCAATAACCGTAAACACTGCCGTACACAACTAAACCAGGTGGAACACACGAAGTGGACACCAGACTGAGTTCAGATTGCTACATGACACTGCATAGCATGGGGGTAGATCCATTGGGTCGGTGCTGGTCTGATGGTGCTGGTGTGTGGTGTGTGTGCGGTGTGTGTGTAGTGTATGGTGTGTGGTGATGGTGTGTGGTGTGTGGTGATGGTGTGTGGTGTGTGGTGTGTGGTGATGTGTGGGAATGGTGTGTGGTGATGAGTTAGATAGCTTACCAGCTCCACCCCATTCGGGGTGAGAAGGGTTGTTGTACCAGCCATCATAACCTACAACTTCTGGCAAGTGAAACGCTGAACCCTGGATGGGCTCTGTTTGGACAAAGGAAACAGCACAGCACCATACATCAGGGTCGTAGCACCATACATCAGGGTCGTAGCACCATACATCAGGGGCGTAGCACCATACATCAGGGTCGTAGCACCCCCATCTGCACCCCGTCCGGCCCGTGGTCTAGCCATGGCCTGACCATATCCTTATTTTGAAACAATTGACCCACCCAAATGCAAACTGCTTTTTTCGTCAATATTGCTCATTTCCGTTTGGTCTCCCATTTGGAATAAATCACCTGAAGCCCGGATTTTTACTAAGGGCCTGTGCATGTATTGTAAAAATTGTAAATCCTAAACGACGAGGAAATGCATCCCTACACAGACTTTCATTGTGCAGGTGGCTGAAATCGAATGCCGAGCACAAGAGTACAGGGAAACAACATCAGGCTGGGTGGGCATTCCCCACATCTTTTTTGTTACCTCTTTCGTTCCTAGATCCTGCCTGTCATTTGTGGCCAAGAAGCTGAATAGTGGCCAATGATACAATCTCAGCAGAATGAATCATGCGACTGTGCTATGAACCTATGAACGAGTACGACCCGAATGAGCATAAGAATGACCCGACAATGAACAAGGAATGACCTCAGCATACAGTGGCTAAGAGTTAGTGCGGAGCAAAGGACCATGGCAGATGCGCCATGAAACAATCCTCGAATCACTGAACGCAAGCCAAACAGGTCTCAGCACCAGGTCGTCTTCACACTCCTTCTCTACTGCTATTTTCACAACTGCATAGCATATCGTGCCCACTACCCGAATGATTGCAATACCAATTTACCTGTTATTGAGTCATTATCCTGGCCAGCTGCTTGTGATAGAAAGAAAGCTACAGCTAGAAGAAGGAACGAGGCCGCCATCTTGCCAGTGAGACTGACGTGAAGACAGCCGATATCTCAAACGAACGGTGGCAGTAGCTAGTGTTGCGATTGGTCTTCTCTTGACTAAATCAGTTCTGGTTCTGGTCGAGGCATGGATGGGAAATGCACGAGAAGGAAAGAATCAAGTCGAATGAGTTCAGAGTTCATCAGTCCGTGGACCAGAGTGGACTCTACCGAATTTGTAGCATGCAGTCGTAGCGAGGCACGCCAAGCATGTAGCCCCTGGTAACTGAAGTCCAAAATCATAGGACCCAGGACAGCAAGTAGAACCGGTAACAACCACCTACCCGATATATCGGAATGATTGGTGAAGGGCCACGCACCAGTGTCTGCACCGCGGCTTCAAGGCAACGTCAGGAAGAAGTCTGAGGAACAAGCTGGAACCTTGCCTAACTATTCCTAAACTGTGTTTCGCTGAACCAGGTAGGAGAAAGTCCGCTTTGAAAGAAAGGAAAAACGCAACGTCGCTCACCGACCTATGTGTATGTCACTTCACACAGCGGACTGCGGCCTCCGTGCACTATCTACTGTAAAGTCTGTATCCTGCTGCGAGTAACTTTTGAATCTACCAGCTGCATGAATCGATCACCGCGCCATACTGAACTTCTGAATGGAGGAGGAGAATCGTGGCCAGGGAGCCCGCTCGTTCTGTACAGGTCAACGCGTTTTGACAGGTTCCAATACTTCCAAGCGTGTAGGAGTATCTGACCTCAACTTCAAAGCTTCAAAGCTAGGGAAGCATTGGCATGTGTCAAGCACGCCCCTGCACCGAGTCCGTAGACGGGCGTAGTAGGCTGCAGCCAGTGTATGGTGGCGATTGTGCTGCTGCAGCATGGCTGGTGGCATACCGTTTCTGTTGAATCATCAACTTTACTTCTCTCCGCTAGTAGTATTACTATTAGTACTGTAGTCTGTAGTAGGCATTAGACCTTCAGACAGCAATGATTATGTGCAGCACGTGTACAGACTACTACATGATTCTAGTACTATAGCGGACACACGCACACGTATAGTATACTTGCAATGCTGCTTCTGGCCTGGATCTAGGGAATGGTAGTATTGGTACGTAACTCACCAAACCCCTGCACTCTGCTGTACTAGCGCTAGCCTAAGGGCAGCTACAATGTCCATGGCGATTGACAACCATTGCCAGACCGTAGCCGGTAGGCTGGACATGCACCACACATGGTGCATGTCTACTATTGTCTAGTGAATGAAGCAGTTGGCCACACATTGTCACGGCTGCATGTACAATCATCATGTAGATGATCTCAGGTGACCACGGTGAGTACGACTATGAGCGATCACCTCCCGTCCAATGGCCCATGACGAGTCGGGCCGGATCGCGGACAAGGCTGACTAGCTGGCCTCCCCAGACAGTGTGCAGAACGGGTGGATCCGCCTCCTCATTTCCCCATCCACTCACTGAACGAACATACATGTATATGCATGAAGTATCGTAACAGATGCTATGACTTCACATGCATGTGCTGTGTAGCTAATTCCTTCTATGCTAGAGCTACATGCAGTACATGCAGCACACGGCATAACACTATCGACGATATCATTGCGTGCCCGCATGCCATCCTGCACCTGGATTGAATGACTGTACAAGGGCTTAGGTGTGTGGTGGCAGTGTGAACCGGTGTACGCAAACGCGTGCACAACGTGATGTGCATATAAGGTGCGTTCTCATTGTCATAGTCTAGAACCTACACTACAATGTAGCCACATGCCTACAGCCGTCAGAGAGGACAGGTGAAGTGGAATATTTGCCATTTGCCAGACAGCCACTGAAGCCAAACAACATCATGCAAGCAGCGCAGACTCCCATCATTATAAAAAATTAATGGCATGTACGGCTCGTACCGTACGTGTATGTCCAGGTACATAATTGTACTTCCTTATGATGCTCCGCAACACGTGTGACGGTATGCAGAATGGTACTGCAAATAGTCTGCAATTGAACAGCTTGTACAAGGAAATTTCGAAGCCTGTCTTGTGGTTCAATGCAGGAGTCGGAGGAGGCGGCCGATGAATGAAATGACATAAATACACGTACATGTACCTGTGCTGGCACGTTTCGGTAGGGGACTGAGGAACGCTAGTGAAACTGAGCAGGAATTTCGGGTCTGCGGCAGTAAATAGATTGCAACAGATCCTCTTCTATGGCCTCTGCCAATCCTGACTCCTCCGCAGAGAATTGTACGCGGAAGAAAGGAATGAATACCGAGGCCATGCTGCGTATCACTGTTATCAGGCTCTTTATGTACACATGGGGCACATGTTTTCCTCCTCCCCTCCCCATTACTATTATTAGTAATTTATGTCGCACACATGATTGTATAAAAGGAGGCACAATGCAGTATACTACCTTGCATTGCAACCCCATTCGGTCAATGTCTTGTTATTCCGTTGTTTTGTCATTTCCTTCTTCTTTTTTTAAACAAATTGGGTGCGAGGTTTTCAAGTAAAGAAAATGCATCAGCACGTACAGGTATACCCGTCCAAGGAAGTGACCGATAGGCCCTGGCGCCTGGCGGATACTGTTCAAACATGAGCAGTTCCCCAGAGGCTCGATAAGCATTACAGCCATTCAAAGCTTATGACGGGAAATTCCGGGGAACCTACTCCTCTCTCCTATCTACATGACATTACATGTATATTATGTACATTATACATGTACATACTTGAGTATACATGTACATGTACATTATACATGTACATTTACATGTACATACTTGAGTATCCAATTATACTCAAGTCTGTACAGGTACATACTTGAGTATGTACATGTACATGTATACTCAAGTGAAGGTCGACTCCTGGGTGGATCAAGTTAAAAGACTGAGCGTCATCGCCGTTACCCAGCCGCAATCGTCATACGCAGCTCTCGTTCGTGGCCTGCATGGGAAATGGACATTTCTATGTCGAACCATGCCAGATATCACGCAGCACCTGGTGCCATTGGACGATGCCATCACCAGCGTGTTCATCCCGGCTCTCCTACAGCGACTGGTTAATGAAGTGGAGCGCGAAATGATCTACTTGCCATACCGTCATGGTGGCCTTGGCCTCACTGCCCCGTCCTCCATTGCCTCACAGTATGGGTCCTCCGTCAGCGTGTGCTATGCTATCATCCACCGCATCCTGAGGCAAGAGCACAGACTTGGCAATGCAGTTGCGCAGATCTACCAAGCCAAGAGTCGCGTCAGATCCAGTGCCCGTGATGCCACCAGGGCCCGTGCCCTTGCTTTCTCTGTGTCTGTCGGGCCGGATCTTCAGCGGTCCGTTAAGCTATCTTCTGAGAAAGGCTCATCTAACTGGCTGACCTGCCTACCTCTCCGTCGTCATGGCTTCACTCTCACCAAGGGTGAGTTTCGCGATGCCACCTGCCTACGCTATGGTTAGCTCCTACAACGGCTGCCAACGTCCTGCCAGTGCGGAAGCACTTTCACTGTGCAACATGCTCTGTCGTGCCCCCCCCCCCCCCTTGGAGGATTTCCCACCATCAGGCACAACGAGGTCCGCGACATTACCGCTAGGCTGCTCAAGCAAGTAGCCCAACAAGTGTCCATTGAAGCACATCTGCAACCCCTGTCAGGTGAGCACCTCCGGTATCGCACAGCCATCGCGGATGACCAGGCCCGGCTTGACGTGGCAGCGAGCGGCATTTGGGGAGGCCGATTCAAACGCACCTTTATTGATGTACGGGTGTTTAACCCGTATGCGTCTTCGAATCGGTCCAAACCATTTGCTGTCTGCTATGTCAAGCACGAGAAGGAGAAGAAGCGGGCATATGAGCAGCGCATCCAGCACGTCGAGCATGCTTCTTTTGTCCCTGCGGTGTTTTCCACAAGCGGAGGAATGAGCAAATGCGCCTCTGCCCTGTATAAGCGCATTGCTTGCCTTCTCTCTGCCAAGTCCACAGAGCGTTACAGCGCCGTCATCGCGCATATCCACTGCCGTCTAAGTTTTGCTTTGCTGAGATCCTGTATTATGTGTTTGCGTGGAGCAAGGAGCATTTTCACTCCTGCAGCACGTCTGCTGTTTCTGCTGAGCTAGTGGTTGCGGAAGCAGGTGTTCTTGCCATTTAACTGCTCACTTGCTACCCTTTGCGATTTTTCTTCCTGCCATTTATTTCCTTTCCTCCTTTGCTGCTTTCCCTCCATATTCGCCTTCCAAGATAAATGGTTGGCTTTGAAAAACAAAAAAAACAACAAAACAAAAACATGTATACTCAAGTATGTACATGTATATGTAAGTCATGTACACAGTGTCTGCTCCAGCGCCGGGTGAGCCGGGTAATCCACCCGGTTGGGCGGCGCTTGCACCCGGTTGAAAAGATAGTATACTTTCGAACTTTAAAGGGACTAACTACATGGCTTGTATGTGTCAGATACTTCTTCTTCTTTCGTAATTTTCTAATTCCTGTCCTCTCTTTTTCTAAATGCGGCTTATCCATTCGCCTTTATACCATTGGGCCTAGTTCCCGTTTATTGTCCGAATTAAAATAAGCCAACCAGTTAAAGCATGTGACTCGGCTGGTGAGACAGCGCCAGGTACATGTGTACCCGGCTCCAACCCGGTTGAAATGGTTGCGCCAGGTACACGTGTACCCGGTTGTCCTACAATCCTAGAGCAGACACTGGTACATGTGTTGTACATGTATACGTACATGTATATACCAAACAATTGACATGCATGAAACCTCAATGATGAGGTACCAACATTTGGCGATTTTTCTGCCGGCACAGATCCACCAAGGGCAAGCGGCCTAAGCAAAGTCTTCACTACCCAGCACTGAACAGGGCCAGTTTTGCTGGCTCAGGTGGATCTGATCTCGCTGATCTCGGAAGGCTGTAGCCCTTGGCGGATAGTGCGCGTCAAATAAGCGGCAGATTTTTCTCAAAAAGCAATGAAATTGGCAGAACCATACAACTTTTATGGCAGGCACTTCCCTCTGCTTCTCTTCTTTATCCACATACCAAACATGCATGAAACATACCAGAAAAAGTACCGAAATTCTGCCAGTTTTTCTGCCACCATTATTAGCTGACTGTAGTGGCTACCATGCAGCAGATGATGCTAGGGAGAAGGAAGCAGGAGAGACTATCAAGTGGCCAGTGGGGCCGACATTCCGCTTTACCGTTGAAATCACAACCAGGCCATAACACACGCCATGTACCCTGTACCGTGTATACGCCCGTCGCAAGAGAAGCATGCAAATCTGCAAATGGCACTGGATGTGTACCCATAGAGTTTCTCTTATAGCAACGATAGAGGACAAGATCTGAATGAGACAGATCAAGACTAGCGCCAGATAACTGCCCAATCCACACAACCTGCGAAGGGCATGTGAATTGACCACCAATCATCGGCACACCTGGTCTACACCATACGGAGTACATCAGCATAGAACACATACACACACACACACACACACACACACACACACACACACACACACACACACACCACACCACACCACACAGTCTAGGCTGCAACAGCCTACAAATATTCTGCCACAGCCGGGCCACACTGTTACAGTAAACTACATTTTATACAACTGCTGCTTCAAATACTGGTAAGAGGTGCTTTTAAATTAAAAAACATAGTCACCGCGCTTTACTTACATGCACACATCATAGACTCCAAGTAAACCAGTGCCAGTGGATCCTAACCACGCCGTGGTACCATGAACAATAATTGAACATGAACATGATGCATCCTTCACTACCAGTAATACACATTCCGGTACATGTATTGGCACATCTGCACCTCGTCATCTATTCCATTACTGCTGAGTCGACATGACTGAAGGATGCTTATGTATGCTCCCTGCCCGGATACGTAATAATTTGGTGGCAAACAGGTCATGTAGCTCCGCAAACTTGAGCTGCTAACACAATGTGTTATGAATATGATATTACTGCGAAAGGTGGCACTCCGCTACATCTGGACACAGTCTTATGACAACATTGTTGCGCTGAGCAGAGAGTCCTGACTGGCCCCCGCAAACATCAGTCTTCTTGCCTAATACCGCTAGCGTAGCCAATGCGCAGCAGAGCACAAGATAAACCTGGAATGGCGAGCCATACTGACTCGCTCAGGACCACAGGCAGCGCAGATGAGTTTTCCGGTAATAATTATTAATTTAAAATAATTATCGTGAAAGCACTTCGCACAGAATACGTTTTTCCCGGCGACTCGAGGAGGACGTGTTAGTGAACACCCTATACCAGGGAGTGACAGTACAGCAGGTCGCGGGATTTCACGATACTTTGGCTCACACTTCGACTTCAACATCTGCCTAGCACGCGGGTTCACACTGCACTCTCTAAAGCAAAGGTTCGTGGGTTCGCACTTTCTAGTCCAAGCGTCCTAGCTGCAGTAGCTTGTACTGGCTAGCTAGCTAGCTGTAGACTGGTTGATTCAGACCCGAGAGCATGGCCCAATACGGAGGCCTCTTTTACGGGCAAACAGAATAAAAGCCCTTGTATAGGCCCGGGCGTATAGAATAGCAGCCTCGATTTCCTGGGCGTATACAAGGGCACGGGCGTTATTTTGGAACCGGGAATACTTGGAATAGGGATAGAAGTAAGTATTGGGTATCAGTACCTGTACATGTACTGGTGTTGCCCGCATACCTGGGCGCATACATGGGCATGGGCGCTATTTTGAAACAAAGTGTTGACTTCCCCTGACTGGGCGTGTACACGGAGGGTGGGCGTAATTTCGAGTGGGCGTATCCAGGGGCTTTTACAGTGGCATGGCGAATGATTAGAACACAACACCAAAATTATTACCGGAAAACTCATCTGCCTGTGGTCCTGAGCGAGTCAGTATGGCTTGTTTCGGCTAACTCGCTGACAATAACTAACCTTGAACTACCGGTAGTTGAAGCAAGAGTATCAGATTCTACTCGTGGTTAGTTGGTTGAAGCAATGAAGCCATTGAAGGACTGTCGCCCTTGTTTCCTTACGTGATATAATTATGCATGCTGTCAACCACCAGCACAGTCCTAGTTACTAAGTTACTAAGTACATGTACATGATTATTGAATACTGTTTCTAAAAGTTAGTTGTGAGGATTCCTGCAGCTCCATACAATCATGCAAAGACGTGCTGTAGAGCAGACCTGTTCTTTCCTACTCACTCTGCAAACACAGCTTTAGGAGCTGCGTCTGCATCTAAGTCTCTGATCCTTGGCTTGAGGGTGGTGGCATTTGTGAAGGTTACCATGCACTTCGCCTTCGAGTCCCAGGAAATCGCAGGAAATTTCCATGGCCACTAGTTTCACCTCCCTCCAGTGCCTGTTGCGGATTCCCAGTGTTGGGTGCCATGGTGTGCTTTCTTCTTTCCTACCGCATGGCAGAGTGGCTACAGAGATCGATCTCTGGTCCGCTCCTGGATTGGCAATGACGTTCAAGAAAAGTCCACCTTGTCTCGAAATTTGAGTCAAGAACACGCGATGCAAGTCAGTTCAAAGATATCTTCTTCCAAACGGTTGACTCAAATCAAGATCCCCATAGCCTTTCGTTCTCTCTCATGTGCGCAGCAGAGATGTAATTGTTGTTGAACGACTTACGTTGATCACAAGATCTTATCTTATCAGCATGATGATATGAGTAGAACTCGGAATCAGACGGACAGAAGGGATAGCTACGCAGACTACACTCTCTTCTCCACACTAGGACCACAGTCACTGCAGTCCTGATTGTCAGACCAGGAATGATTGGACCCTGACTAGCTACTGCAGAATATACATTGTAATTATTTGTAGGTCTACTGTCAAGACTACAAAATGTGATCAGTGGTTGTCAACAGTGCTAGTGGAGCATGGACGTGGACACAGCATCTGCGAGCTACATGATCGTACTAAATGAAAAATACTGTGGGCCGGGTGTCAATTACCTACTAGTATTGGGCGATCGGCAGAGTGTTATAGGAAAGAAAATAACGTTTTGTTTGCCAGCCAAGGACATTGTCTCTGGCCTGGCTATTCGGTGTCACCTTGCCATACTGACTTGCATAGACTGACGTTACACGATGTGACTCGATTCATCTTGCATTTGTGGTTGTAGTTTGAGAAGGAAAAGAAGAAAAAGAACGGAAAGTTTGTTATTGTCAGTACTTCGCTTAGCTACCTTTGCCACGACTATGTCTGAACTTCATGCTGCGGCCTATGATGGGAACGCAGAGCTGATTCAAGATCACCTAAAGGGCTTGCCCGACCTTGATGAGCGTGACCTGGACAGCGGTGGGCATACGGCATTGCACTGGACAGCAATCAACAAACATGGCGAGTGCACCAGCTTGCTACTGGACGCTGGTGCGGATCCGAACGCCAAGCTGTTCGGTGGCTACACGCCATTGCACTGCGCCGCAGAATCAGGCGCCCTGTCCGTCATCAGGATGCTGTTGAACAAAGGTGCACTAGCGGATACTGCCGATAAATATGGAGACACACCGAAGCGTGTAGCGGAACGATTTGGTCACAAGGAGTGTTATGAATGCATTGCCAAGTGAGTAGCCTGAATTGAACGTGGTCCGGGATAAGGTTTAATCCAATACTAGTACACAACAGCACAAAAAAGAATGATGTTCTTTAGAAATGGACCAAACTGCAATACGCTACAGGGCAAGTTTTCTATTGAACGTCTTGGGTGGTATAACTAGCCTAGCTGGCATAAGCGACATTTCGAGTGGAAAGCGGCCTTTTCCACAGTGCAAAAGGCGTACAGCCATTGACCACGGTGGTACTGTAATTATCATGATTATCTGGTGCAGGGAAAAAGCAACGGTGGCTTCAGCAGAGATTTCAGCTGAGCTGAGAAACAGAGGCTTCATTCAGAGTTCCGCACCGGTGTGCTCGATTCCAAAGTGCCCAAATGACAAACATTCTCATACTCGTTAGTACCGGTGTACGTGTAGTTGTGTACCAAGATGTACACTGTGCACGGAGTGTGGACCATTTCAAAATCATGGATACACAAACCGTAAGAATAACTACAGTGCCTTCAAACCCTGCATCAAAAATTGAAAACTGATCACTTACACCATGAAAATATGCAGTTAAAATGCTGAGTCTGCTGTCCGAGAATACTACTAGTTTTACCTTGAACAAAACCCTGGCTATCACGTGAAGGAAGATGTATGGCAGATTGGAGGTGAACAATGGTAGAGGCTGCATACACCGGTAACAAGCTGGCTGTGCCACCAGAGTGGGCCAGGGAAGTGGTGGAAGAATGAGCGTTGGCTCAGGGATTTTACTTTCATGTCACTGTTCATCTGGGTCTTGCTTTGCATTGCTGTCTTACTCCCATTGCTGCTGCTGCTGCTGCTACTATTTATATGCAGGGCAATTGCAAAGGCTAAACAGAAGCAAGCTGCAAGGTACGTACTGTACAACAACGTGCAGCTCAATTACTTACTTCTAGTCAGTAATGTAAACCGCTATACTGAAGAAGTGAATTGAGCTTGCCACTGAGTAGAGTACATGTACCGGTGCATGCTATGTACAGGTACTTAATCTGCGGACAGCTATCAGTCTCGACCCTGTTAGGTCACACCAGTTAAAGGGGAAGTAAACCCTAAAATCAAATTTTCACCAGTTGTAGTCTTCGGGGTGCTGAGTCGAATGGTCTTGGTCCGAGGAAGCTGAGACGCTCCCTTCCTCCTTTATTCCCAATCGAACTCGCGCACTTCCACCGAAACTAGGTGACTGCGCTCTGCTAGATAGGGATTTGTATGGAAAAAGTCACTAAAAACGCCGTTTCGTTCTTATAAAAGCACGGATGACCGCGATTGGTCCATATGTTGTAGTCTTGTGGCCGCTGAGTCGACTGGTTTTGGTCCGAAAAGGCTGCGATGCAGCGTTCGGCCCTTATTCCCAATCGAACACGGTTGAGTGAGTGGTCACGTGCTCATGTGTACACCAGTCGCCTGCCACACCTGGTCACCGTGCCTGCAGAGTACAATTTTCACATCAAGATTCAACTCAAAGGTTCAAAGCAGCGAGTCGTAAGAGGAGGCTTTTACGACTCCCTAGATCTCTGGTTCAAAGGTTCAACTCGAGTGACATAAACAGGCCCAAACAGGCTGTAAATGAGCACGTGACCGCTTACTCAACCGTGTTCGATTGGGTATAAGGGCCGAATGCTGCATCGCAGCCTTTTCGGACCAAAACCAGTCGACTCAGCGGCCAAAAGACTACAACATATGGACCAATCGCGGTCATCCGCGCTTTTATAAGAACGAAACGGCGTTTTTAGTGACTTTTTCCATACAAATCCCTATCTAGTAGGGCGCAGTCACCCAGTTTCGGTGGAAGTGCGCGAGTTCGATTGGGAATAAAGGAGGAAGGGAGCGTCTCAGCTTCCTCGGACCAAGACCATTCGACTCGGCTCCCCGAAGACTACAACTGGTGAAAATTTGATTTTAGGGTTTACTTCCCCTTGAAGGTCAAAGTGACTGGCTAAACAGATTGCAATGAAACCTAGTGAATTAAAAAGCATTTGACTGTTGTACAGGTGGTATCCTGTCAACTAATGTCACTCTCACTAGTTATCAACAATGCAGACTTCAGATGAAGACAGCCATAGTGTTATCTTAGGGACACTCCAGAGTTAACACTATCCGGAAAGGCAGTAGTAAGTCGCTGCAGGGACTGAGCAGTATTCCGCAGTGTTCTCGGACCAATAGCAGAGTTTCAGCATTGCACTTGGAGAGGTTCTGCTGCCACAATTATTTCATGTCCATGTTTTTTTAGGTGTTCTCGTTTCCACAATGTGTAGTGTGAGATGATTCACCATGTCTACTCGTAGTATGTATTCTGAAACCATGCTCCATTCACCACACGCTTGGCCCTGCCAAGTTGCTAGCACAAATCTGTCCTTCTGCAATGTTGCACTCTTCCAGAATACTCTAATTTCAGAAATTGTCGGTGCTCAATATTTTCGGTATGAGGGCAAAAGGCCAGGGTAGGTGAACAGAAAATTTAGGTACAGAGAAGCAGTTCCCTATTGGATTATGTGCGTTAGTGTTTGTTCGGTGTATTGAGATTTTAGGTATGAAACAGATGCACCGAAAGTACCGAAAATAAAAGTACACCGAAAATTAGTGAATTTACAGCAACGGTTATATCTTACACATACACACAGGATGCAAGGGTCACAGTGAGTCACAGGATGCAAGGGTCACAGTGAGTCACAGGATGCAAGGGTCACAGTGAGTCACAGGATGCAAGGGTCACAGTGAGTCAATAACATGTGCATTTTGCTATTGTTTTGTGCATGCAGTGAGGCTAACAAACAGCAGCAGCAACAACAACAGGGCATCAGTACTGATGAAGCATCAAGATCAACTTCACCAGACAGCAGACCTGCAAGTGATCAAGGCTCACGGTCCAACCTTAGCGCCAGCAAATCTGGCAGAACATCTCTCGGCACAGCCTCTAAAACGAAAGTATCAGCGAAACCAGCGACAGGGCAAAAACAGCAGAAACCCAGTCAAACGTCATCGAAATCTAGCACATCATCCAAGGCAACACCCGACTCAAAGACACCTGTCAAAGCACCAGCAGCTCGCACCACTCCGTCTAAAAAGACCAAACCGAAGGCTGCCGCACAGACACCAGAATCAGAAACTGTGAAAGCAAAGAATTCTCCCAGCCAGCCTTCACCGAGTCTACCTGCTGACAACACCAGATCACCACAGGCAAATGAAACGGACAAGGGATCACCGCCGGAAAACTTTCCAGACAGCTCAGCCACACCAGCTGAGAACACGCTCATTGCGCCCATGAAGCCCTCGCCACAAGCACAGGCTAGTCCCCAACCAATGGCATCAGGCTTGCCGGGGAAGACCAAGCGCCTGCTGCCAAGCCCGCTCGCAAAGACAACAAAGCCACCATCGCCAGTTAAAACTGATGGCAAACCTGTTGTGCTTTCAGCTGAATCATCGACAGACTCTTATCAAGCATCAGAATTGCTGATTTCTGACCGAGCACAGGCAGGACAAAAGGAAGCAATCAGAACCGCAACGCAACCTAGCCGACTGACCACAGCTACCAATACCCGTTCTCCGCAACATGCCCAAGGTGGCCAGGTATCCCCACGCAACGTACCACATGGGAGTGCATTGCCACCAGTAGCATCCACAAAACCGCGGACAAAACGTGGAGCGCCAACTGCTAACGTGTTAACACAATCCAGCTCAGTTGCCAAATCAGCAAATCAGCTGCCTGCAAACAAAGGCAATACCGGGGGCAATCCGTCTTCAAGCACTTCATCGAAAATGGCGGCCAAGTCCACAAGGCAGACACCACAAAAAAACAGTAACACCTCAGGAAAAAGCCTCCCAAAAGTACGAGTTACAGACAGTAAGCAAGTTGGCAAGTTGTCCAGTAGTCCAAACTCAAAATCACCTGTCAGCCATTCTGGCATGCCCAGTGCAGGCGGTGGGCGGCAAGGCCTGGAATCTGAAGAGAATGAGTGGGCAGAGTACGATAGTGACGATGATATGAAGCCATTTCCTATTTTCAGCTGCCTGGCTGACATGGTGGAGCTTGAGAAAACGAGACCGGTGTCAAGTGATCTGGATGCTGATGAGAGCTACATGTAAATAGTCACCTAGAAGTGAGGCCAGTACATGTATGTTAGCTGCTTGGCAAGTACTTCGAAGTATGCTACAACAGAACTTGGCCATCTTGAACCGTCATTGACTGAAGATGAACTACGACTTCATAACGATTTTATTAGGCACAGCACTAGATCATCTATTTATTATTACCGTCAGATTGAGAGATTGAGTACCATTGTTCCAATTGTATCATACTCAGTTGTATTCCAATGGAGCTGACATGTCACCTTGAGCAGAAACATAATGTGCACATCAAACTGTACGCTGTCACAATAGTGCAATATCTTATATTTACACTGTGGATCTGTCTCTGTTGGTGCATGTGTGTGTGTTTGTGTGTTTGTGTGTGTGTGTGTGTGTGTGTGTGTGTGTGTGTGCGCGCGCGCGCGCGCGCGTGTGTGTTTGCGTGTATGCGTGCGCGCACACATGCGTGTACATGTGTGTGGATGAGGGAGTGTGTCTTGAACAATACTGTAGACAATAGCACTGGGATGCAGCAGCAACTGCTCCCAAGAGAATGGATAATGAGAATAACAAGTCCAATGCTGTACGTCCTGCGCAGAAATAGGTGCGGAAAGAGATAATATACCACTCACTGCATGTAGCCAATTCCTGGCTTCACCAGCAGCTGTGCGCAGTTCCACACAATCAGACTAAACTGTTACAAGTGGCACAGGAGTCACGGGTATGCACCTACAATTGTAGAGAATCTGTAACATGACCTAACCCGTGGACCTGGCCTAAGCTGTGAGTCTGGCATTTTATGATAAAACTTAAAAAGTAAAACATTGGAATAAAGTAAGTGGCATACTACCATGAGCAGCGAAATGAAAGCTTCCTTGTTGCTTCGTGAAGTGCCATACGATTCTAATATTTGATATCAGAGCGCACCTACATGCAATACAGCGCAGTCTTAGAAAGCCATATCCTGTCATCGCACGGAAGCTGGTTCATGAACAGCGCAGTGTCTGCATGGGGTGGTCAGCATGTGCTCCGCGATACAGTCCTAGCCAGACCATATGTATTGGACCAACTTCTACAGGAAGTGCAAGTGGCAGACAGGACGGCAAAGATGTCTTGGCAAACCAATTGTGATTCGACTGCACGCACCAAGTGCATGTCTTGCAAACCCATATGCAGAGATGAGATTGTCCACAACAGCTTGAGGATTCGGAGTAGTCAGTCTCAGAGCTGAGCTGAGAGTTTTTGTTCGACATTGCAGTTGTCGTTTTCGGGAGGAGCAAGGGCACACTGGCCAGTAGTATTGTACTCGTGTATTGTACGAGTGTGTTGCTTTCGAACGACCGGATACAGTACTCACCAAGCACTAGTATCACAGCATGTATTCTTACTGATAACTTGGTTGACGCTAGAATCCACAGCTCTTCTCCGAGTGCATGCCCTCACACTGAGCAAGAGTAGGATAACAGCAAGAGCGAGAACCCATTGCTCTGATCCACTTTTCCATGGGATGCCAATCCCTTCTCAGAATTCTGAAGTCACTTGTTGAAGGCCGTCCTGGATTTCAACGATGTGGCCATAGCTGCATACATTCATCTTCGCAGACTTGCCGGTAGACATCGAAGTGATGATTTAAGCCCGGCTCGCAATGCAGCAAAAACTGTGAACCCAACGCACCGTCAGTTCTGGACATTGCGCCGTAGAAGACACGACCAATGCGACTGTGGACAAGCGCCATGGAGCACCTGCGGCAAGAAAGAGCAGAAGGTTCCAGCTATGACGACAGTCCACCCGTCGACCACCACAGGCACAACTCGGGCCCAAGCTCAAAACATGAAAGAGCGTATATCATGTTCAAGCCTTGCTTGTGTGTTCCTGGCTTTGGTAAGGTGTAGCATGACAATGACAAAGATAGAATGTGCCACTTCAGCTAGACCTTGACAGGTTCCCAATCACTACATTATGCTTTTCTTTTTTTTTCTAGACAGTGAAGCATTACCCTGGTTGAAGGACATGGAGCATGGCTATTGCAAATGTTCGCACGTACAGTGTCAGTGACACACCGCACTCCACACAGGCACATGTCGTGTTCTAGGAGCGAACACAACATAGTCCAGGCTAAGTGGAATAGAAACTTCTATATTTCCCATGCAAGTGATTAATACTACAGCGCTGTTCAATGAAATCCAGTCGAGTCACTCAAGTACGTGCCGGGCGCTGCACAGCCCTAGACCTGCGAACACTGGGCTGCGAAAAAATGCAAGGCGCAAACTTGAGTGACACGACTTTATTTCTTTGAGCAGCACCGTACATTATACACAGCGTACATATACTGGCGTAGAGGATATGCCAAGAACTACCCTTTGTGGTTCATTCCCCACAATCCTAGACATGGATATGGTGGTTCCTTGTCGACGACCCACGCGTATGACAGCTGTACACACACTGTACATGAACTTACATTACACAGGGCTCGCGAGTGACAAAGAGATCATAGCCCGTACACAGGTAGGGAGCGCGTACGCCAGTCTCCTTTCTATCCACCCGCGATGCTGATGGCAGGGGTCCTCGGAATGCTTGCAGGTTATCTGTACAGCAAAGAACGCAGCACGGCAAACGAGAGAGCTTGGAAGCTCAGTCCCCTACGCTATGCTTTTATGCTTTTTTGCCTAGCTCATCGTACATGTTATAAGAACTGAGGCAAAAGTATTTGCAGAATTTATTGCGGATTGTTATTTCTCTAATAATCATCTACTTTTGGTTTGCTCCTTCTTTTCTTTTTATCTCCTTATACTGTAAATCAACAAATTTTGGCCGATGAGAAATAGAAACCTCTCTATTAGAGAGGTTAACCCATTGAACGCTGATGACGTCTATAGACGTCATTGAAAATGCCCCCCATGCGCGGGATGACGTCTATAGACGTCATGGGATATATAGTGATTTCTGGCACTCTCTGGTGGGTAAAAGAACTGTTAGTCAGTTGGATCATGATCCTGCCTCTTGTACGATAGGTCGTTGGTATGAATCTCGCTTGGAAATACTACGCGTCTTTTTTTCTTCTCTTTTCAGCGATCCTTCAGCTGCAATTTCACGCATTTGGCGTATTTCACGCAATTTGAGCAAACTTGCGTCCCCTGTTGTGATGCGCTATTCTTTTTGGGGACTGTATCGATTCTGTCACCCTGTGGTTGATAGTCTTGGCAATCATTTCCAAAATATTTGAGGACCCCAGTTGCCAGAACCCTGGAGTTTTAGAACTTCCTATTGGCCCTGTTTTTAGCATTTTATATGCAGAGTACCATAGGCAAGGCCCAGTAGCGCTGAATGGGTTAAGATGCACGTTATTTCCGACGTGACGCGCAATTTCACGTCAAATTTGAAATCGATCGGTATTTTTGCTCTCACATGCATCCATTGCTCAATCATGCATCATTTGCCTATATGACAAACTTTGGCCTGCGATTTACTTTGGCCGGTTGGTACCAAGCGGCGAAATCAGCGAAATTAAATCGCCAGCGAAAATTAGTTGATTTTAATACAGTAATCGGATTTTCAGGCCTTTTTGCAGTAATACATGTACATTGACCTGTTGAGCCAATGACGACGCCGAATGCATGGTTGCCTGTGGAGCACATTACATAACTTAGCAGTCTCCTTAATACGTATCCTGTCCGACGGCAAAAAAGTCTGCAGATTTAGTTTTTCTGCGCGTCGACCGGATGTCTGCGACGCGAAAGTTCAGCTCGCGTTATTTGGCTCGCACGTCGAAAAATCAACGCGAGTGACCTGCTGCTCACGTGGAAATTTGGACATTACATAACTTTACAGTCTCCTATAATACGTATCCTGTCCGACGGCAAAAGAGGCTGCAGATTTAGTTTTTCTGCGCGTCGACGGGATGTCTGTCCTGACGTTCACTGGGACCGGCGCTGACTCTGCCGATCACGGGCGTTCTGGACTCGACGGGATGTCTGTCCTGACGTTTCCTGGGACCGGCTTAGACTCTGCCGATAACGGGCGTTCTGGACTCAACGGGATGTCTGTCCTGACGTTGCCTGGGACCGGCGGACTCTGCCGATCACGGGGGTTCTGGAGTCGACGGGATCTCTCTTCCGACGTTTCCTGTGACCGGCGCTGAATCGCTCGTTCATGCTTATTTTGGAGACGACGGGATCTCTCTTCCAAAGTACATGTATGTTAATGCGGACGCATCCTATCACCTATTCGGCGTCTATTCTAATTTAATTTCCTCCTCGTCTCCCTATTTCTTTCCAAATCTCCCTCTACATCAGGGAGTCGTATACATAATACGACGAATATTGGTACGGTACGGGACAGATACAGGAGCCCGCAAATATTGTGGACAGCTGTTATGTACAATCCTGTAGAGCCTTTGTAGTCACACATACGGGACAGATACGGGATAGCTCCAGCCGTGACACAAACAAACAAACACACAAACACCAAATTAAAGCTGTGTGGACCCTGGCTAGCGCCAGACGTTACTGAAGTAACGTCTTCTGCATAGCTACGGGAATAAAAAAAACCCACTAGTGCTGGGCAGTATTCTACAAGCAGTTATACCGTACTATCTCTATTACAAGCGCAGTCTCTTGTAGAAGCCCAGCCTCTATTATACCGTATTATCTCTAATATAAGCACAGTCTCCAATAATAGCACGTCTCCAATAATAGAACACCTTGGGGCGGCATTCCAAAAATAAAGTGCTCAGTCTCCATTATAAGCACACTGTGTAAATTCATTATCTGTACCGGCGAAAAAACCCCTGAAATGTGTGTGTCTGACATGAATTTGGCATGGCAACATGCCTCTGAAATGAGGTTGAAATAATAATGGAACAGTCTCCAATAAAGGAACGTCTCCATTAATAGCACGGGGCGGAGGTACATTGAAAAAATAAAGGACCGTGCTTATATTAGAGATAATACGGTAAGCGCATTCCAAGAGGGCTTCGAGACATACAAATACAAGCGCAGTCTCCAATATAAGCGCAGGGCTTATAATGGAGAACCGTATGGGTCATGTTCATGCATGTTTGACGTCACACAGTATCACATAAACACATGCTGTGGTAAAGGTCTGTGATCCCCGAGATCTAAAGTGCAGACTCAGTGTACCAGGAAGCACAAAACTGCAGTCCCAGTACCTGCTGGGAGCCTTTCTGCTACTGATATAACGAAAAATAATAGGCAATGTACTTGTACCAGGTGGTTGAAAAATTAGAAGCCCAGTCTCTAGTAGAAGCCCAGTCTCCAATATAAGCCCAGGGTCAGGACTGGTTGAAAAAATCTAAGCGCTGGGCTTATAATGGAGATAATACGGTATGTTACCCATTTGCCACTAAACAAAAAGGCACCGCATTCTAAAACCCAGCTGACAAGAGAGTTTTTCAACATGCCAACTGGGTATGAGGCTTCATACAGTGGGAAATTGGAGACTTATTCACAAACCATGGCCAGCTGCATTGAGACTTTTTGACAAACAATGGCCAAGCCCACTGCACTGGTCTCTGGGGGGTGGGGGTAGTGACTGTGTAAAGCAGGATTCACAGAAGCATTTTTGCGATGCGGTGGGCGATGCGACAGCCGCGACACTGGGAAATCCCCAAATCGCGTGCATCCTGCAGCTCACGCAACTGCCGCAACTGGGCCATCGCAGAAGTTGAGCTTGGAAGTGGAAGAAAAGCTGTAAAATTGCCTGGTCCTAAGAAGAACAAGTTGCTCAAAGCCGCCAAGGACAAAAACTTAAAAGGGTGTGACACAGGGAAAGCTTGCCCAGAAGTTCTCAATAAGCCGCTGTTATGTTGGAAAGGTGCTCAAGAGCAATGGGATCAAACATTATAAACGTCAGAAGTGCCCTGACTGGTCTCCAGAGCAGGAAGTCCGCCAAATCAAATGCCTGAGGAAGATGAACAGAGATCTCTGTCCTCCATCATCACCAACGGTCGTCATCATGGATGATGAGTCTTATTTTCCCTATCGACATGATGAGATGCCAGGAAATGATGGTTTCTTCACTGACAACAAGGAAAACACGCCGCCAGATGTCAAGCTGAAGCAAAAGCAAAAATTTGCTCCCAAGGTCATGATCTGGCTGGCCATCAGCGAAACTGGGCACTCGGACGTGTTTGTGAAGCCGTCAGGTCTGGCCATCAACAGTCAAGTGTACATTGAGGAGTGCATTCGAGCTCGGTTGCATCCCTTCATCCAGGAGGTGCATGCGAATGATGAAGTTCTGTTCTGGCCAGACCTGGCGAGCTTTCATTACTCAAAAGCCACTCGGGATGCTCTTGCGGAGCTGCACATCGACGTTGTCCCGAAGGACATGAACCCTCCCAACGTCCCACAAATTCGGCCTATCGAGAACTTCTGGGCAATTTTGAAAAAAGCGGTATACGACAATGGCTGGGAGGCAAAATCAGAGAGGCAGTTAGTCACCAGGATCAGAAAATGCCTAGGAGAAACTGACTGGACACCTGTACAAAGGATGATGTCGACGCTGAAGACAAAGATCCGGAAGGCAGCCGACACATCCCCCAGATCAATGATCTAACTCATTCAAAAGAGTCCCATAGCGACAGACTCACTCTGTACATAAACTGTATATAAACTTTGCTTGAGTCTGCTATAAACTTTGCCTATATATATATATATAATATATTGTACAAACCGGCTTTTATAACAATTTCAATTTTGTCCAATATTTTAGTGCCACCCCGTATTAGCTAAGAGTTGAGCAGGGACAGTATTTCGTCCCGAGCGAATAGGAACAAATCGTCCAAGGCAATGGAACCTGACGTTGCTGTTTCTGTTGCCAAGGAGTTGCCTGCTAACGGGATCAAGCTTCAAGCTGGGAGCTCTTACTGCCGACGATGATGCTGCTACGATAAAGCGGCTGAGAGAAGAGGTAGACATTGGGATTGAGAACTGGGCAGACCTCAGCCACACCAAAAGAACTTTGGTGCCAAACTTGATGCAGCAAAGCAAGAGCACCGGGAGCTGAGAAATGTGAAAAACAACTGCCCATATCGTGAAGTCGCTAATGTATTCCATCAAGGCAAACAAAAAACAGACCAGATGATGTGAGATCTGCTATTCTGAACATCTCCCAGCATCTTTTCGGCGAGCATGACAGCTGCGGTAGTTGGTGCAAGGCGAAGACATTGGCAGACCCATCAACATACAAGTTCACCAAGCTGCCAAGAGGTAAGCCGTTGCAGAGTCCCGCTATGAGAGTGTTTCTCAAGGATCTTCCGCAGAAGCAAGCCGACAATGCCGAAAAGCTGGCACCGTGTGGAACATCTAACCCCAGTGAAGCCCTGAACAACACTTTCTCCTTGCTGGCACCTAAGCGTCTGCACCTCAGCGGCTCTGAGTCATATGACTTTCAGCTCGGTGCTAGTGTGGCAAAGAAGAACCTGGGCCAGAGCTATGTGCCTACAGTGCTGGGCACTGCAGGCCTGTCTCCTGGCAAGCACACCAACAAATGTGTACAAGCCGAGGAATGCACGAAGGCCAGAGAGCAAGAACGAAGGGGCACCCGTTCATATGCCAGAAGCCGGCTTGACCTCAAAGCCCAGCACAATGCAAACCAGGCGGTAATTCCACCCACGCTAGCCGTTCAGTGTGGACCTAACAGGATCCCAGGGCTGCCCCACTTGGAGGGAGAAAATCTGACGGGGATCCGGGGGTGTCCCCCGGGCGGGGGTGCAGGGGGCAGGGCCCCCACGGTGAATATTTTTTAGGAAAATGGCTTGCTGTTGGGGCCCCAGAACACAGCACGCGTGCATTTTACAGCTACATGTACATGTACAATGACCGGCCAAACGCGACCTGGAAGCGCCGAATTAATGGCCAACTCGACTAAAAAGCACTCAAAATAAAATAATCGGTTGTCCCTCTTTCGGAACAAAATCAGTTGGTTTGTCGGACAGGCGATCAAAAATCGGACGATTTCCGTAAAATCGGAGCAAGTGGCAGCCCTGGGATCCCAATGTCGCAAAGCGCAAAGTACCTGGGGGTCATCATCGACAACTATCTAGCCTTCGACCTGCATATTGAGAGCGTACTGCAGAAGGTACACCAGAACCTTGGTGCATTCAGACATGGCAAGAAGAACATAAACCACGAAGGTCGTCGTATGTTCTATCTATCACTGATACAGTCAACCCTGGACTATGCCAGCATAGCATATGTTCATTGTTTGAGCACTACGCTATACCAGAGACTTTTGCGAGCGGGCACGCAGGCCATCCGCAGAGGTTTTGGTCCCCGTACACGTCTTCCAACGACTGTTTGACGATAGCTAATGTTGCACCTCTGGAACTCCGCTTAAAGGTGGCTCGTCCCTAAATGGAAAACTAGTCCTTTGAGCATTCTTCTGAGTCTGCAGTACAAGCAGGGCAGTACATGTATGTGTCTGACAATTTACCACAAGACACAAGAGCTAGTAATATTCACATACCAGAGTGTGGAGTCTTCGCCCAAGCCCCGCCACCTTGCTGACGAGCAAGATCATCTATACACATCATCACAGCATGCTTCAACGAGTGTGCTGCTTGCGAGACAGGGTCCAGCATTTCCGCTGAGCGTTGAGATGAGAGTGGCATCGGAGTTGGTAAACTCTCATCCGTGCCCACACCAAGGACTTTCTGCTGTGCTGGGTCAACAAGAACAGCACCGATGGGTGACTGTAGTGTTGTTTGTGTGTGGTGGCAGAGAGAGGAGAAACGAAAGGACATGCATACACAGGCATAAGGTACACGTAATAACAGCTTCAAAATCAACACCACTTGAAGACGAAGAGTATCGGCCGAGGCTGTGGCAAGTACAGAGCATGCCTGTACTTACAGTTGCTTCAAAACAAGTCCCCAAGAGTGAGATAGAGTAAAACCTGTAACTAACGACCACCCATCGGGGCCAGAGAAAGCGGTCTTTAGTGGCAGGTGGTCCTTAGTTAGAGGTTTGCACCGCACAACCATAATATGAATGTGAAACTGTCCGTGCCTGGCAAAGTGGTCTGTAGTACCAGGCTGGTCGCTAGTCACGGTGGTCTTTAGTTAGAGGGTGTTACTGTATGTGGATGCAGAGTTGGAGGGGTATGTATGTTTGGTCTTACCTGTCCACTAGCCCTAGCATGCTTGGCAACCTGAATGGCTACCTGCATGCTCGAATGCACATAGTCCAGATCAGCCGGTGAAAACAGCTTGCCTTCACGTATCAAAGTCATTCTAGAGAGCAAGAACAAGCAGGCCCCAACACACCATCCATATCACTGACGGGATAGCAACTCTACTCCACTCTACCAGCTTTCTGTTTTTGTAATACACATCCAGTGCTACGCAATCATTGCTCTAGAGTCTAGACGCTCGATAAACGTGCAATGGGCAACCATACGTGGTGACTGGTAGCATATTGCAATCATAGTGGTAGCTGAGAGAACAACCGTTGCTGGTAAGTAATAGTTGGCCAAACTGGCCGTGTCGGTAATACACTCATATTCAATGAGTCATCATCAAAACAGCGCCTCATCAATGTGGCATGCATGGCGATTGGACATAGAACTGGCCATTACATTATTGCCATATAATGCCCCACTGCAGTTGCGTTCGATGAAATCTGACCCAAAATTGCAAAAGCTGGCGCCCTGGACCAATTCCGATTACATCATTGTATTTTTACATGTGTACGTCCAGCCGCAGCCGTTCCACATTCAGGGCGTCAACGTCAAGGGTGTGCAAGTTGAAGGCGGATTTCACCGAGCGCAACTGCAGTACTAGATGGCTGGTTCCACATTCACATTCAGACTACGAGTCACAGCCGATTCAGACTGAGAAAATCCGTGCACAGCGTCTTGGGTTCGAGGCCAGACCAGCAGTCATCGCAGCAGGGGATTTTCCCGTATTCAAGCGTATTCAAGGGCTGAGAATTTTCTCAGGGCCAGGTCTCATCATCCGGCTTCTCGGCCTCACTGAGCGAAGCCTGAGGCACTGAAAACAACAAAACAGCACCGTGTGAGAGTACAGTAGGTGCAGTACAATCGCGTGTAAAAACGAAAGCTTCTGCCTTCGAGCATGCGGTAGTTCAATCGTTTCTTGTCGATTCCCTACTCCTTTTCGAGCGTGTCTTTTGCTGTGCATAGGCCAGGAAAACCGCCCTAGGTAGCTAGTTGGGAAACTTTTGGTGGCGCCGAGGCAAGTTGATTTGTATAACGGAATCCTTCGTTTACAAAATTGGCCGGTGCCATTGTGATCGGTAGGGTAGTTTTGTGTGCAAGGTGTTCTTTTCTCACGTCTCTTGTCACTGACAAACCAGTCATTCTGTCACTGTATGAGGCACCTCATCCTTTTGTGAGAACTTGTTTAGAGGAGCTGGTAGTTGCTTGTGATCATGCTGGGGAAGAAGAATTTGAGGGTTGTCCCAAAACAGTTGCGTTGAAGTATTTGAAAGATCATGTCACTGAATGCCCCTTCCGGGATGGTGCCACATAAGCCCCCCTAGTGTTGCATAATTATGGTGCTGTACGTGACTACTATAAGTTAGTTTACAATCTTCTATATTTAGTGGTGTGCCATCATCGCCTTGGTACAAATCGCATGTTCTCATCGCGTGCTCCTTTCGTGTTTTCAGAGTTTTATATTCTTACCGTAGTTGCTTCATGGCGTCTCATCGTGGTATACTAACACGCTCATGACTTCTCTCCCCCTCGTGCTACCTAGTTGTATCTGCATCGTAGCTGCATTGTGACGAACTACCGTACGATGCAGCAGCGATGCAGCAGCCTGCGCGCCTTCTGCCTGCTAGTGGCTCCGTTTTGGTTTTGAGTTGGGTTCCTTTTTGCCGACTTCGTAGTCCAGAAGAGCTGCCTTTCGTTCCGCTCTGTTATCTGGTTTCACCTGAACTATCCTCAATTGTATCCTTTGCCTGTATAAATAAAGAGCTCTATTACCAGTTACTAAACAGCATGAGCTGATTGTTTAGTAACTGGTGGTGTTAGTGGACATTATAGCGTAACTTGTAGTTTCTTGGTCCTTTTTTCTTTACTATAAATTTACCCTTGGCTCTCCATCCGAGTCAACTCTATTACCAGTCTGAGTATCTAAAAGTAGTCGTAGACCAAAGTTACTAAATGGTCCTTCGAGCCAACCTGAGAAGTCAGCAGCTGCAGCAATGGAGATTCTGAAGCTGAGAAAAGCCAAGTGAAGACGGACTTCACCCACAGCCGCCGTGGCCTGCTGACGGCCCTCGACAACGACGAGGCCGTAAGTAAGCGAGACGTAAAGAGCAGTTCTTTTGTTCTTGCACAAATAGTTCTGTGCTGAATGCTGACAACAGTCTTCTGCAAGGTGATGTAGGCACGAAATTGCTCACCAAGATGATCCATGCCCGTTCATGTGATGGTCCTCTCGAGCAGCCTTCCCATGGTGGCACCGCAGCCTGGCAACGGATCCCTGCTGTCTCGGTCGACTGAGGCGTCCCAGGCAACTTTGCGTCGGAGGGAGAGTGTGCTGGAGGGGACAGGCAAGTAGCATGTGGGGGGGGGGGGGGGGTGAGCAGGGCAGTCAAGCACAGACTCTTCATGCCCTTGCCACCCTTCGCAAAGAAGAAAGCGAGGACCTTTTGCGTGCGGCAGGATTGTTGCCCAAGGGTATGGAAGAAGGAGTCGGCCTGGCCATCAAGGCAGATCTGCAACTTCCGTGGAACGGACTGGGGAAACTCAGGCGATATTTCAAACGTTGTGGGGTTGCTCTGGAGTCTGAGCAAGCTATGCGCAAACAGCTCTCAGAGGAGCCGCCGTTTCCGCTCGTTGCAAAGCAGGAGCCTTTGTTTGACAGCTCCGGAACAGTCGTGAGATGCCCCTTGGTATGTTTTGAGAATCTTGTGGACCTTGTTCTTCATTACATCGAGCTGAATGCTCAAGCAGGAATGTTGATCTGGGATGGTCTTCCCGAGGATGAGTTGTGGGTAAAAGTCGGTGGTGACCACGGTGGTCATTCTTTTACTTCGAAGCATATTTTCACTTCAATTGGTTAATGTTCTGCACCCAAATGCACTATATAACACCATTCCATTCCTAATATTTGCAGGAAAAGACACGCCCGCAAACCTCGCGACAACCTTTCAACCATACGCAGAACAAAATCATCGCCCTACAACAAACAAAATGGCACGGAAAGCAAACGACTTCATGATGAAGTGCTATGGTTTGTCTGGGCCAAGTGGAGTCTGCCCTTGTCTCTATTGTCTCGCAACGAAAGTAGAAATACAAACCCAGGCAGTTGGCAATCATGGAGAACGAACACCGGAGGGCCTTAAAGCTGACCATGCAAGTTTTGTCGCTTCTGGCAGCAGGCTTCAGCATGCAAAGCACCACAACAATGTGATCCGGCCACTTGTGGTTCCAATTGAAATTAGAGGTGTTTGATTGCCAGTTTTGCATCTAGATTTGGGAATTTTCCCTTGGCTTTTCGATGCAATAGTAGGAGATGCTGAAGAGCTTAATCCACAGCTAGCAAAGTCATACTTGACAATCCAGTCAAGTGCTAGCTTTAATGAAGTTGCAGCCAAACAAAAGCAGCTGCACAACTTGTATGAACCAAGAGCAATACAAGAACAAAGAACACAAGCCGCCCAAGCACAGCTGCGGTGGCTATTGCCAGCTAGCCAGCAACCTGCTGTGAACCACCAAGCTGCAGCACTCTTTTGCTGCTCAGCTCTGCACACTACAAGAACAGCTCCAAGCCACCATCCAAGCCGTAACGCAGCTAGAGCAAGAACTGACTGCCGTGAATATAAAACTTGGTCCGTGCTCCTCTTCTTTCGAGCCTACCTTGTCACGACAAGCTTTCCACTCCAGTGCTTTCATTGCGATCCATGTGCATAAGGCTCTGCAGTCTGGAGTTACTGCAGACATGGTGTCTTCCCTATTGTGTACTCTTCATGCCTTAATGAACCCAGATGGAGTTCCGCTGTGCCTACAAAGAGTCAGCATGATCTGCTGCAAGCCGCTGAGACTATACGCCAACGCTACGCTTCACTTTTCGCCTCCTAAGCAAGTTGCAGAGAAACATTTTCTTCAGCCCAGCTCGTTGATGATGACATGCTGTCATCCCTTGCCTTGAAAATCAAAGACTTCTTGACTGGTGTACGCAGAGGGGTAGTTACTCGCCATAAGCGGCCGATCACGCCCAAGCTTCACATTCTTGAACACCACCTTGTGCCGTGTATGAAGCACTTTGGTATAACGCTCGGTGCTCTTGGAGAGCAAGGAGGTGAGTTAATTCACCATAAATTCAACCTCCTAAGCTCTGGCCTGCAGAACACAAACAAAGATGTCGACCGTCTAAAGGTCTTGGTCGTGCAGTACCTAACAACCACACCGCCGACGCACAATAAGTAAATAGCTCCTCCAGTCAAAAGAAGAACAAGCACTAATTATACCGTTGAAGAACACCACAAGCTGCTTACTTTTTGTCTTCATGCCAGGCACATGGCCAGCACTGGTTAACCTTGGTCCACTGCTGTAGTGTCAGTGGTGCAGACATGGGGACATCCACAGGCAAATACTCCGAGAACAAGGTAGTGCTGATATTCCGTGATTCCAGCAGGCGCTGACAGTCTGGGACCTGCAGGCTATCCAGTTCCTCGGCGGAGCATAGAAGAACATGAAGTGATGATCCTGCAAAAGAGTAGATAGTACATGCACATGAAAAGTGTACCATTGGGGAGGAGAGGAAGAACAAGAACAGTCCTCCGAACTGTTTGTGGAGTAAGTTACTCATTTACTTCCTAAGTGAATACTCAATTGGACGTGACACTTTGCTGAAACAATGCCTCTTTCCACTCATTTTCTGTATTTGTAGGTTTTGAAGTGCATGTGCAGTCAACTTCGCTAATAACGACTGCGGATATAACGACAATTCGCGAATAACGACAGAATTTCCATGCCCAGAGCAAAGTCCCATCTAACTGTAATACATATAATGAGACTTCGGGTATAAGGACACTTCGCGAATAAGAACACTTTTCTGATGCCCCGCCGAGTGTCGTTATACGCAAAGTTGACTGTACATGTACAGGTGAAATATAACCAGTATTCATATGCACCACTTCAATGCTCTGTCTGCTTTCATTTCATCACATGTCTCAACAGCTACTGTACACGCAGACATGTACTGTACTTCCCCGATTGTAAGTCGCATCCCCATTTCCAGGTCTATGCCATATCGTTTCAATATACTCACTTCAGTAGTAATTCATGTAATTCATGCTCGATTGTAAGTCGCACCCCCTTTGTTGGGAATGAAGTTCAGTGTAAAAAGGTGCGACTTATATTCGGGGAAATACGGTACATCTAACATTTCTGCTTTATCATCTCGGGATGGACTTTTCGACAGGACGAACTGCCTTCCTAGGTAACTAAGTTAGTAGACAGAATTCTGCAGTAGAGAGGTTAAGTTTCACGTAAAAGTTTTACGTCCGTGAACTTTTATGTCAAAAATTTAAAAAACTCACGTAACATTTGACGTGTTTTACGTGAGTTGACTGTCCCGCACGTAAGTTCGTGACGTGGGTTTTTGGAAGTTTCGCTTGGTCTTCCCGATCGAATCTGTGTGAGTTTCCGTAGTTTTATCGCGTTTGTTGGAAGATTTGATATTTGTGTGAACTAAACCCGAATCCTGCCACAGAAAATTTCACGTCACGTCGCACGTGTAACTTAACCTCTAAAATTTACTTCAAGAAGTACACGTAACGTGAGATTTTCACCGCGTTTTGAAAAAAGGCAAAAAACCGTGTAACTTAACCTCTCTATTAGATGCTTTTCGCAGTAGCGTACCTGGGTATGAGGTCGGGGCAAGCCAACTCGCGGCGCACTCGAGTACTCAGTGAGCCCTACACATTATCATACGGCATGTGTAGGGCTCTGTGGGCGCACCGCCTTTTTTTTTTAGGGGTGCAACAATTTTACCGAATACTCCAGTACTCGCTCGATTTTTTTCAAAAATAATCGTACTCTGAATAAATCAGAGTACTCGTTCAGACATGGTACCTGCATTTACCACAGGAATCTGCAGTTTCAGAGCAGCAGTCGGCAGATATTGATGTGCAGACTGTGTGGTAAACATTTGTTCACGAGTAGAGAGAGCCCAAATGACCCAACCAATATACCCGAGAAAAATGACCGCCACTCGGTTCAATCAGGGTTGTATCATGTGATTTTAAGGCCCTTGGTGTGCAATTTTTAGGAGATGAAGAATACTCGAATATTCGATCGGAGAAAATCAGAGTACTCGAACTCGGGATCTCAGTGCCAACTTTCACCCCTACTTTTTTTGCTTTATTTGGCACAAATGACAGGCTGTTTCTGGCTTTTCAGTGCTTGTTTCGGCACAAATGACAGGCCGCTTCTGGCTTTTGAAGTACCAGCAGCAGTTAGGTGCTTGTTTGGGCACAAATGACAGGCTGGTTCATGGCGAGTCCCTTGGAGTTATCGCCTTTTTCGTAGAGCTTCTTCTATCGAGCGGAGTAATGCTGGCCCGGGATGTTCCAGCACTCTCGTGGCGTGTGAAAGATCTCAGAAAATATTGATCTGACCACGGCAGAAAACCACTGGAACGAAGACCCAGCTGGTTGAACAGTAGGTACTAGTCGCCGTCTCAGTAGTTTCTTGTTCTGATTTTTTACTGAGCAAAAACTTGTCCGTTCCTAGTTTTCCTTCAGAGTGTCCTTCTACCACGCAAACCCGGGAGCTGCCAAAACCAAAGCCTCTGTACGCCGGCAGTCCAAATCAGGAACAACATCGCCTGCAGCTGAGAGTGTCGAGGAGCCCGTTTTCCCTGTGGACGGTTGGTCGAGCGATCGCCAGAAATTTCCTCATGTTGGTGCTGCGACAGTCTTGGGCCATCGAAGGCCGCTGCAGTGTCACATGAAGTCAAATGTCCGAGCGCTTAAATAATGGTCTTGCAACGCGCAGCCTTGTATCACGCACGCTTAAGTTGCCCATGCTCAGAACTGCCTTTGCCCGTCATGGCGCTTCCTTCCAATGTGCTAAGGTGTGGAATGATTTACACTCTCTAGCTCGATGTGTGGATAACTCCGCCCGTTTTAAGAAACGGTTACCCCAATGCCTTGCTTTTCACGCTAGTCCTTATGACTTTCAGCTATGCACAATTTATGCAAAAGTTGGGCGCCCATCTTCTGGTGCCCCAACCATTCGTTCCATCGTGGACATGATCACCTATCCAATAGTCTATTATATTAATTATTCTTATCTTTTTACATCTTTCCCTCGAGTGGGTCTATTGTTATTAGGCAATTGTCTGTTATAGTCACCACTATAAATAAAATCCAATCCAATCCAATCCCCTTGGTACTGGAAAGCTTGTCCCCACCAAGGACAACGAGGTAGTTGTCGTTCAGAAGCCACTCCGCCGTGGGGATGAATTTTTCTTTGGTGGGTACGTCCACGACCTAGACGTAGCAACTAGTGCTGATATGGCTGAAATCTTTGTTCGAGCAAAGTGCTGGGCATCTCAGTCCAAGAAGAAGAAGTATGCCATGAGCCTAGTTCTAGCTCAAGTGGAGGGTGAGGAACTGGAAACGGCTGTGTCCTTTGCGAAGTGTGCAGGTTGCCCAGCAGGCCAGTGCGGCGGACTGTGCCAGCACGTGTTTGCGCTCCTCATGGTCTTGGAGTACTATGGGCCACGTCCAGACCCCAAGCAAACAGTGCCTCGTGACGAACCCGTAACGTCTGTGCTCAGGAGCTGGGGTCCTCAGCAACGCAACGTCACTGCACAGCCAAGCATGCAGACTGTTATCCAGCGGCCAAAGTTTGATGCGGAGCGTAAGAGAAAGGCTGTCACATGCTCTCTCTTTGAGGCCCGCACTCCTAACGCCCGTGTTCTGCCAAAGGAGGAGATTATGGCAATGCGGCCCATGCTACATCCATGTCGCATGAAAGACATATTGCCAGATGACCAACGGAACATCGCATATAGGAAAACGGCATTTGGAGACGCGCCGTTAGGAAGAATTCTAAGCTATCAGCTTCGCCAAAATCCCGTAACGGATGCCCCAGCTGCTCCATCAACACTTCAGACCACCTCGGCATCCGTACCCGAGCCTCTCAATCAGCCACCAGTGTCCACAGTCATTTTCCCAGCTGTGCAAAATCCTGTAATGGATGCCCCTGCTGCTCCATCAACACTTCAGACCACCTTGGCATCCGTACCCGAGCCTCTCAGTCAGCCACCAGTGCCCACAGTCGTTTTCCCAGCTGTGCTGTTTCAACGTAGCGAGTGCTCTGCGTCTCTTTACTGCTGGCGTGGAGGAGATCACTCTTCAGGATGCACAGCAGGTGAGCCGGGGCACTTTGGGCCAGAGTGAAAATGAGCTGTGGCTAACATACCACCGTACTGTTCTTACGTCATCAAATTTCCACAAGGTGATCAGGAACAGGACCGCGTCTGTTGCCTTCCTCACCGGCCTGTTTGCACCAAGAGACCTCAGTAATATAAGCAGCATTAGACACGGTCGGGTGAATGAAGCGGTGGCTGTAGACCACTACTGCAGAGTCAAACAACAAGCAGGATCACCAGTAGAAGTGCAGCAGTGTGGTCTCTTGCTGCACACCTCCTTGCCTTTTCTCGGTGCAACTCCCCATCGTGTCGTATACGACCCAACGGCAAACCCCCAATTGGTTTGCTGGAAGTGAAATGCCCATACGCAATGTTTCGTGACGGTGTAAACATGAAGGACGCAGCTAGTCAGCCCGGGTTCTGTTTGACTCTAGTAGACAGTAGCCTGAAGCTGAAGACTGGCCATGCCTACTATACCCAGGTACAGGGACAGCTGGCTATCAGTGGTGCCCAGTGGTGCGATTTCTATGTTTGGGCTGGACCATATTCGCACTGCGAGCAGATTGCAGCTGATCTGCCCTTATGGAACAGCACCATTTTGCCAAAGCTAGTCAGCGTTTACAATGACCATGCAGCGCCGTACCTGACATTCAAAAGCAGTATCCCTGAAGTCGCATCTCGGCAACATCCTATTTTTCCCTATTTTCATCACTACTACGAAAGAAAAAATATGCCAGATCATGACTTACTATGTTCATCTACTTCAACTCTTCTGATACGCTTCACATGCCTCAGGCACTTTGGCAGCGGAAAGGAGTCTGACAGGCTCCTGCAGTAGAAAAAAGAACAAAGAAATCGTCTATACAAGACACCCACTTCTACATGTAGTACACTGCTACACTACTACGTCGCTAATCAAAGCAAAAGAGACCATTATTACTCTCTACTTCGCAGTAATCAGCTGAAAGAAGGTTTCAATACGGGCAGCGCTCGGTAAACAAAGTCAGGGGCCGTAATACATGAGAAAAATAAGACCGGGTTTATTCAGCCCTGGGCTTATTTTTCAACCGTTTACATAACGGTGGTACGGGGCGATCGGATACAGGCTGCAGGTGATTGGCTGCGAGTTGTCCAAGTATGTGGTATCACAAATCGCACATGTACATAGAATTAAGTGTTCATGCCTTGGATGCGCAGTCTGTCAGGTGACCAAGGGTACATGAGTTCATGAACTTTTGTAGTTTTAATGACAAAGTACAATTGTAGAGGTAATTTCGTGAGCGCTAAAATATTCTTGAATGGGATCGCGCTTCTTCTGGCTTTACTTGTCGACATGCCATGGCCATGTTTAGTGTAGATGTAGTTTTCCTTTCCGAAAAGGGCTACACGTTTTTTGTTGTCTTTGTGAAGGCAAAATAACCAAGTGTCATGATGAACCAACCTAGTAGAGAAGCCGTATGTCTTCTTTCCTCTATTCTTCGCGTGTTAGCTGGTCTAACATAATTATGTGCTAGAAGCCAACAACAAAGAGTCGATCAACACGAGCCTCCTGCCACGTTGGCGGTTTCTGAGGCAGCTATTGGTATAGCAAAAAAAACAATTGCCTACTCCTGGCAGTGCTGATGGAGAAACGTCGGCGGACACAGCAAACCATGCTCTCTCTGAGCAGTGATTATGGTGTTGTGAGGTTAGCTTGGCTAATCGGCCAGGCAAGCGTGGAGGCTGGCTCGGACCAGCTGGAAGATTCCGGGGCGAACTGACATCTGATGGACGAATATATGGACGTCAGACAACCAAGAAGAGTGCTGAAGGAATTTCCGCTTTACAAAAGTGAAATTCTTTGAGCTGCTGGGGCAATTGAAGCCATACATTTCTCAACGTGACCAGCCGTTTCGTGCTGACGCTCTACCAGCGGAGAAGAAACTCGCCATGACCCTTTATTACTGAAAGGATCAAGGATCGTTCCGGATGACAAGCAATGCCTTTGGCATGGCAGTCCCTACATTGTGTGTGGTGGTGAAACAAGTATGGGAAGCTCTAGCAACGCACTTAGGCCCCAGATACATCGTGTTTCCTGCAACCAAGGAAGACTGGGAGGGAACAATACAGGTGTACGAGACCAAGTTTGGCTTCCCAATGGCGATCAGGTGTGTCCATGGCATGCGCATAGCAGTACACCAGCCCATCTCCAATGCCCCCCCCCCCCCCCCCAACTACTTCTGCTACGAGATAAAGTATTCAATCAACTGTCAAGCCATCTGCGATGAGAAGGGCATATTCACAGATGTGGACATCCGGTGGCCTGGCTCTGTCCATGATGCGAGGGTTTTTGCAAACTCTTCAATTAATGGCAAATTCTGGGATGGAGGTTTTCCAAATATTGTACATGTATTGCTCGCGAACTACTTGTAGACGGCACCAAGGCACCACCAGTCAGTCCTCTTTGCTGATCCAGCATACCCGCTTATGCAATTATGTCCTCAAGGAATTCCCTACCGAGGCAACTGACCGGAAGATTGGCTTCAACAACAAGCTGAAAAGTGCCAGGAATCAGGTTGAGTGCACCTTTGGTAGGCTAAAGGCAAGGTGGGGAATCCTGAACCACACCACTGACTTGAACATCGACACCGTACCTATTGTTGTTTACTCGTGTTCTGTCCTGCACAATTTCGCGGAATGGGACAGAATGCAAGATGTTTCCAGGGCAAGGCTTGAGCATCAGATGGAATTCGACCAGCAGAAGCAGCAATGTGATCATCACGCAAGGCCAGAGCAATACCAAGGGCAGTGAGTTAGTGCGCAATGCAATTGCTGATTGTTTTGCCGTTATGCAATATGCATACAGAGCAGTGACCATATTTGTATTTTGCAAAGTCCAATCACTGGTGGTGCAACATTCCATTCTTGTAAGTTTGTTTTCTCCGTTGTGGTCCAGCACTTGGTTTTTCATGTACCATTTTATTATCAATTGCTTTGCTTTTGACGCTCGTGTCCTCAGCAATGCAATGGATTCCTGCTGCATTGCCATGGAGTCAAAGGCTGTGGGCTTTGGCGAGACGCTGTCGCTGCTAAGGGCTGCAATACCAGGAGAAGCTTCGTACAGCCTATCTTCTCTGTACCAATCCTGCTCTGCCAATCCCCTTGCAGATGCACATTCAGCGCTGGCAGATGTGTGGGGCCTTTGCGCCATCCTCGAGCATGTCGCCATTTCCAAGAAGGACATGGTGGTTGCGACAACAGGCATCGCATTCTTTGCCAAGGAACGCCAGTACCAGGCCAACCAGCAGAAGTGCCTGGCAACACTGCTGCCCCACCTCAGGAACATCCTGACCCGGACAATGCTCCTCAAGATGGCAGGCTCTGGCCTCACGTACGATTACCTCGTCCAGGCCTACCAAAGAAAGCCCCAAATGGGCATACGGCTATTGTTTATCGACAAGGCGGCCAGCAGCTCACGGGTCACCAGCAACCGCCGGATTATCGATTCTGTCATGCAGCATTTTGCAAAGAAGTAGTAACCTAATCTTCATTGGAGCCATTGCCTGCGGGCGTGCGGGCATGTGTGTGCCCTGTGTGTGTGTTTGCATGCATGCATGCGTGTGTGCGTGTGTGTGTGTGTCTGTGTGTGTCTGTGTGCACACGTGTGCCTATGTGTGTTGCAGGGTTGGGGGTGGGCTAGTAGAGAAGGGTAGATGTATATGTACATGTACATGTACATGGGATATGTAGTTGTGCATGTACATGCACCAAAGCAAACTTATTAAAAAGGCATTCTGCACCTATATGGCGAAATTGAGCATTGAAGCATATGTTTGTTTGTTTTTCTAATTGGCACGTACACGTTTAGTGCATTCAATAGCCAAAAAATGAGGAAGATTGTAAATCAGATTCTTGATGAAATACCCATCACAAATTCTGTACAAATTTGACAATTTAGTGAAATTGTCATCGCCTATATCTCAGTTAGCATTGAGACCCCGTTTTTATTTTTCATTTCGCCATTTGTATACACTACCTAAGAGCAGCCGCCCACCAAATTTTCAGAGCAATCGATATTTTTCAGCTGGTTCTGTTTATTGCAATCCTTAAACTGTTGTCATCTCGCCGCCTTTTCAAATATTTTATCAGTTTTTTAGTTTGTTATGATTTCATGGTTTCTTCACCCGGTTTTCTTATTACTTGAAGTATTTAAATGATTATTTAGTGCAATTTTTACGCTACGTGGGTTTATGATTTTCCTTTTTCTTAATGTTGCCTTTAGCGCTGTTGGGCATTATTATTCTGTTTTCTTACTTTCGCACCAAGTTATTATTTCTCGTGAACCCTTGCTATTCTTACTGTTCCGTCAATTGTGTTTGTTTTGCCTGTAAAAGAAGCTCTGGTAATCTATACAAAAGTTCGGACTTTTGAAACATTTCAGTACATGGCTTTGTATTATTTGATCTTACACACAGTATGCCGAGAGGAGTGTGTACCTATGGTCGACTGACTTTTCAAGGTTCGTGAGGAATTTGTCTTGAGCAATTAGCAATTTTCAGATGTGACTTTACAATATAGACATCCAATGAGATTTTGCTGGCTGTCATTTGGCTTCTACCTTACACCCATCTTTGTCGCCACTCCAGTAATGAATGATTGAATATTCTTTGTGACTACAAGAAAAAAATAGTTGTGTACCTCTCTTACTCCTTGTGATTGACTTAGTTAGTACAGTGCTGCTCAATGAAATCCAGTCGAGTCACTCGAGTTTGCGCCTTGCACCATTTCGCAGCCCAGTGTTCGCAGGTCTAGGGCTGCGCAACGCCCGGCACGTACTTGAGTGACAAGCGACTGGATTTCATTGAGCAGCACTGTACTACTGCTAGTTGGGTCTGGTAGGGTTCATAACACCTACATTCTGCACTGTTCATGTCATGTTAGTTCGTCACATGTGTCTGTTAGTTGAGTGTTCACACCTTGCGCCAGTATCTTCTATGAAACAGTACTATTAGCTCAAAACCTTTCATTCAATACCTACTTCTCCTCTGATGAGTTCCCGTCATCGAGTTACTACGGAACGAAATAAAACTGGTCAGAAACAACTACTTGCTGCCATGGAGCGTGGCTAGTGAACTGTCACTGCTGGTGTCTGCAAGCATGTGGTCTGGTCCGGTCAAATAGAAGAACCTGGCATCACTACTAGCACTAGACCATAGTGTCAACACTTCAAGGCAGAGCGAAATACTTGGTCATCATCCCGTTACTGCATCCAATGACTCACCCACTACAACTATCATGCAACAAAGGTAAGCAAGCCACCATGACCGGACCGCAACACTTCAATGTGGGCTTTTGTCTCCGGGAACTGCACTCTCTGGCTTGCATACTCTTGGTATACACACCCAAGTTCTCCTAGGTTTGTCAGGCACAAAAGATACTCACTTTAGGACTTTGGATGCTGACTTCGCATCCGCAATGCATGCTGCCCAAAATCTGTCTGCACATCAAACAAAATGGGGGAAAAAGCAAACGGACAAAGAAATAAGTGGCGTGTCAAGCGTGAGCAACGTCCAGCGTGGGGAGTGAGCTGATGTAACTGTCAAAAGCCTAATATCTTTTTCCGGCACTTACGCCGGAAAGATTCTTCCAGTCAGTTGACAGTAGGAGAAGGTACAGCTGTCAGTATCCCAGGGCGCAAAGTCGAGATTTTTCAAAGCCCGCTCGGTGTTATTCGCCCTGCAGTCGGCTGTAGAACCGAACTATCATGGCTGCAGGTAGAAGGAATAATTTCTACTGTTGAGGTTTCCGAGTGGGCAGCAGCAGCATCGATCGTTCCCGTCATGAAAAGCAGCGGTGCAATCAGAATTTGCGGAGACCACAATTGCACAGTAAACCAGCAGGCCAGGGTTGACAAAATATCCACTACCTGACATTGAGGACTCGTATGCCGCGCTAAGTAAGACTAAGAGCCCATCTTTTAGGAAGCTCGACCTGAGCCATGCATATCAGCTGCTACAGTTGAAGGAGGAGTCCAAGCCACTCACAGTCATCAATACGACGAAAGGTCTGTTTGTCTATAATCGGATGCCGTTCGGGGTAGCATCAGCACCCTTGATTTTCCATCGCGTCATAAATCAGCTGCCAGCAGACCTGCCAATGGTAGTTGTGTACTTGGACGACACTGTGGTTGCTGGGGCCACGCATGATGAGCATGACCATACGCTACGACTCATGCTGCATCGTCTTCAGGAGGTAGGGCTCCGGCTGAATCGTCGTAAATGCTCGGTTGCTCAGTCATCAATTACGTTATTAGGCCGCAAGATTGATACTGCAAGCATACTGCAGGCATCTGGCTAACAGGTGAGAAGGTGAGCCAGATTGTAATTTATGTACTCCTTAGTTGCACTTGACTGTGCATGGTCTGTGACTTGGGCCAGACGATGTTTGGTTTGTGTTGTCTTCGGCTATATGAGTACTTTGAAACGGTACCCCGATTGTCTTCTGTTGTGGGTTGTACTGTCTGGCTACTTTACTCACATCAACAGTTAGTCTCCCTTCTACCCACTAGTCCCATACTATTTAGAGTACTGTACATATCCCAAAGCTGTAATATCTTTTACTTAGCATCACTTCCACATCATCCTGATTTAAAATTGATTATCGAGTAGACCATCCACCAGATTCATTAATATGACGGACAAGATTGTTTGAAAAGTTGGGAGTACAGGGGCATTACCTGTTTCCACATCGTTGTAAAACTTGTGAGCGAGAACAGCCTCAAATGCTGAGCGAGACATTGATACAGCTCTGCTACCACAACTTCCTTAGCACTAATGTCAAATAAATTAGTATTGCAGATGAAACACTTGCAGGTGCAAAAATTCCAGCAAGCAAACTGTACATTAACTGGCCAACAGCAAGACTTGATGATCCTGCAGATGTAGCACTCCCATCAAGATTATAGAAGACAAGCACGTCGCCTCCCAAGTCTCAAAGTCACATCGATCATGCCTGCATGCACCTTTCGTATCGATTTCAAAGCAAAAAGCACACAGGAAGAAAGATTCAAACAAAAAAGTAATGAACCCAAATGAACTCATCACAGCTCACGTGCGCCGATGCGCTACGTCAGTCAGCATTTGACGTGATGTAATCTTTTCGCATGAAAATGGCGTGTGGACTTTGAAACAGACAGATTGTTCACATAATTCATGTTGTTATCGATATAGCCTCAACAAGGCAATTGTGCCCTTACCTGCAAACAGAATTCTGCGAAAGTAGAACTGTCGTAGTGCTTGTCTGCGCTGTGTATCCCTTCCTAGCTGTCTCATGTCAATTTGTTGACCTTTTTTTCACATTTAGGACATTTGTAGGCCGGACGGTTTCTGACTGTGTCAAGTTATACACTTCCCATAATGTGCCCATGTAAATGTAGTTAGTTACCGGTGCTTCCTTTTCTCGTGATAGGACTCTTCTCCATCAGATTTAATTGCTGGCATGGACGCTGTACTGATCACATTGGCCCAGGCCACCAGCCAGAATCCTGATGAGCTAAAACCAGCTGAGCAGCAGCTGAATGCTTGGGAGTCTGAGTTGCCTGGATTTTACACAATACTATGGGTATGTTGCAAGTGCTTGTAGGAACCCCTTGCTTCTCACCAAATTTCTGAATTGATTGTTTTATTGCCTCTGTATTAGAACAAGCCATGCTGAGCTCATAGATACAACTGACTAAAATCGCTGCCATCTGTACATGTTCCTGCCAAAGTTCAAATGCATGCATGCCATTCAAACTATTTGAACTTGTGAATACAGGAAATCCAATACATGTATACATAATTAGTTATCGGCATTTATATCAGAAAGGGAATGAAGGCACTAGTAGCTGTTTGTCACCGCAAGTGTGGGATGTGGTACGTTTGTTCTAGCGCAACGTCAGCTCAATACAATGAGAAGCGTGCAGCAACAACTACTTTGACATGTAGCCTAATTATTTTCGACTTGAGTCTTGAGCTGAGGGTAGTGAAGTTTCAAATGATGTGAAATAGTCGGCCTGACAGACTGTCACGTGAACGTGATTCTTAGGATGGGCCGAAAAGTTTTGGAAATGTTTGCATCAATCGTATCATCATATGCATCAATTTCCCGCCATTAGGCTTTGCCGGGCAAGTCCACTACAACCGTACACACTGTCATACCAACTCTGCATAAAAGGTCATGAACTTTGTGAGGTCATACACATAAATGTACTATAACGGGTTGTACCTGCCAAGTATGGGGTAACTTGCCCCGCAAAAAGGTGACGACCATCTTAGATGCATACCTCCCATTGACCGAGTAATGAAGTTGGCAACCTTGTTGCCGTGTAACATACATATGTGTATGATATGTGCAGTATTTCCACAAGTACATTGTACGTATGTGTATGATATGTGCAGTATTTCCACAAGTACATTATACTTAGTGCTGGTACTACTGGAACTGATCTATGTGCGTCTTGCTCAGGCCGTGTTCAAGAACCGTGATGTCGCGGTCAACGTCAGGTGGATGGCCATTCTCTACCTGAAGAACGGCATTGATCGGCGCTGGAGGCAACGGGTGGTGTTGTACGTTCATGTTTCAGTAACTGATCTTTGTACCAGGTCAAGTGTTATTACTTGAAGTATTCTCCACCCTTTCAGAGTCTGTTACTGTACTGTTCAGTATTCGCTAATGCATCCACTTATTTTCCTGGGATGAAGAAACCTTTTCTAGGTGTCTTCAGGAAGTAAATCGTAGTACTAGTAAACAATCAAACTATGCCATCAGGGAAACATAGTGTGAATACTAGCGTGTTGCAAGAGACTGAACAGTACAGTGGCACTAGTAGTACTTCGAAGTAGTACACATTATAGTGTACTGCAGGGACTAATTTAACCGGTATCGCATCGCAGTTTGCGACGCAAAACACAGTGTCTGCGATTCGAAGTTCGTAGTGAGTCGCGGTAAACTGCGACACAACATACAGCTAAGTATGGCCCTGGACATAGACTTGTAGTGCACGCGTAGCGCATGCACATGTGTAGCTTTACAGTGTGTGTGGCTGGTTTGGCGCCACGAGATGGCGCGCCATGCACTGTGACTAGATTAGACTGTGTGTGTGTGGTTGTCCAGCCTGCACTGCAGGTAGATTTTACACCATACGCACGCGCGGGCCGCGGGACCATGGCCATATGTCACACTATCTCCGCATGCGCACCGCAGCACGTGCACTTGGAAACTAACTAACTAATTACTTACTTGAAGTGCAGCCCAGGAAGCACGAGGCGAGTGTCGACAAGTACTTCACCTGATTTTGAGATATAGACCGCGTTGCTTCACTAGCAGTAGGCATCTCGACCGTTCAGGACTTATCTTTGTAAAATTCTGCTAGCCTTATTGATGAAGCCTCTTCACTGCCGGCATGTCTGTGAAGCAAGGTACTGTGGACAAGTGGATTGCTGAATTTGATCCCAAAAAAGAATGGAATCGCGCAGAGTCGAGTGGCGGAGCTGTGACCAAGATATTTTGCAAGATGTGCAGGGAGAAGGCGTCCTCGCTTCGTGGTTTGAGGAATTACAGCACGGCGTTCGTTGACGGTATAAATGGAAGTGCACTGAAGACTGCATTGTCGACGGAAAAAAACTGCTATGCAAAATTGTTGCGTTGCTAGGCAAACGTCGGGGTGTGTAGCAATTATTGCTATGCAATTTTTTTGAAGTAAATTAGTCCCTGTACTGTATGCTGACGAATGGAGTATGGTGTTGCAGCTTTCTATCTCCACTGCATGCATGTTGCTATGTCTGACAACACAAAGCAAAGTTGCGCCTGGCTTGGGAAAGTAATCAGCACATGAAGAGCAGCCAACGACCCAAGTTCACAATGACGGAAGACTAAAGATTTGTTGGAACTCCCAGTTTCATGGGATTAGACCAATTATCAGACAATGTACATGTGTTTGTGCAAGTTATGCATTAGGATGTTGGTATTGGCTTGGGTGCAGTGGTTCCCCTGACTCGTTTATTCTGTAATTTCTTATTGAACATTTCCGACATGGGGTAAAAGTGGCCAATCTTCAGGCGATGTATTTGTGTAATTTTGTTTTAGAGTGTTGGTAATGGCTTGGGTGCAGTGGTTTCTCTGACTGGCTTATCCAGTAGTTTCCTATTGAGCACTTCCGACGTAAGGTAAAACTATACCACTAGGGAGACATCTGTGCTCATGTACACACGCTGTGATGATCACAATCCACCCTCGAGAATCTCAGATAGTGTAGTGGTACATGCACTTGACGTACACCTTGGCATTTCCATCTGTGTTGCTGTGCTGCGGTGTGTTCTCTGTAGTCAAGAAGGAGATGGCATCAACAACGTGTCCATTACACCGGAGGAGAAGGACAAGCTGCGTGATGAGATGCTGACTATGTTTGATGAGCCTGTGAACACGGTTAGTCATTTGGTCAGTTTGATCGGCCGGCTCACCACTGGGACCAGGCACTTGGAGCTCTTATAGAGGTTATGCGAATGACGTCACGAGGAGCGCCAAGGCGGCTGCGAGTGGCAGGGGTGGCAAAATGAAGTCGTTTCTGCTTGAACTATTTTTTACTAGTCTTTGAGAGGAAAAGTAAAATTTGTTGTTGGTTGTCGACATATCGTTCCTCACTTTATTTCCGCTGGTGTCTCGCTTGCTGAAGTTTTTAGCCTTCAACATGCCGAAGAGTTGTGCAGCCGTCGGATGTAGCAATCGTGCCGATCCTGGAACGGCTGTGAAGTTTTACAAGTTTCCTGTAGCGGACGAGCGGCGCAAACTATGGGTTGCGGCTATGAGACGAGAGAATTGGAAGCCAACTGACAGTAGCAGGATCTGTTCAGACCATTTCGTAGGCGCAGAGAAGAGCAACGATCCACTATCTCCCGCTTACGTTCCGAAACTTTTTGAACATGTCAGGACTCCTGTAAAGCGTAAAGCGGAGAGGGATTTGGTGGCATATGAACGCCGAGCGAAGCGGAAGCTGACGTTCGAGGAGAGCAAGACGCAGACACCAGTGAAAGTGGACGCCTCCGGGAATGACTTCACAGAGGCAATGGCAGATTTGCCTGGTGCCTATGGTGCAGAGGTAGAGTCTGATCCTGTAGCAGTCTCCAGTGTCTCATCGCAGACTGACATGGATATGGAGCACTTGACGCGGCTGGAGGAGACAAACAACTGTTTGGTCCTGGAAAGCAAACGGATGCCACACGCTCCAGGACAAGGTGACACCTTGTCAATCGAGTCGTTTGAGAAAGACAACGCGAAGGTGCTCTTCTACACTGGTTTGCAGTCTTTTGGGACCATGATGGGCATATTTGAACACGTGAGGAAGAGAGTTCCACAGCACCACCGCCACACGCTCTCTCTCTTCCAGCAGTTCTTGATTGTTCTCATGAAGCTTCGGCTGAATTGTCGGGACCAAGACTTGGCGTACAGATTCGGCATTCACCAGTCGACCGTGTGCCGGATTTTCCAGCGCTGGATCCGGGTGATGCATGTGATGCTGGGACCACTTGTCAAATGGCCGGAAAGGGACGAACTACGCAAAACTCTGCCACTTGAATTTCGTAAGCATTTCCCGGGCTGTGCTGTCATTATTGACTGCTTTGAAGTTTTTTGTGAACGACCTTCTGATCTGATGGCAAGAGCTCAAACGTACTCTCACTATAAAAGCCATAACACTGCAAAGTTTTTGATTGGCGTAGCGCCACAAGGTGTCATTACATTTATTTCGCATGCATGGGGCGGGAGAGCCTCAGACAAGTTCATCACAGAGCACTGCGGTCTGCTTAGTCACCTAAATCCGGGTGACCAGGTGCTGGCTGACCGTGGTTTCACTGTTGAAGACAGCGTTGGCATGTTCTGCGCAGAGTTGGTGATGCCCCCATTTACGAAGGGGAAGAAGCAACTCTCCAGGCTGAAATTGGACAGTGCTCGACAAGTGTCACGCGTCCGTATCCATGTGGAGCGAGTGATTGGAATGCTTCGCCAGAAATACACGATCCTCTCTGGCACTTTGCCCATTGCTTTCCTCATGCATGACGATAAAGCTACATCATGTGCATTCATTGACAAGGTTGTCACCGTCTGCTGTGCTCTGTGCAACTGTTGTGAGTCCGTCGTACCTTTCGAGTAAATTACATCATGCCGCTTTGTCAGCTGTAATGATTGCTATATTATTATTATATTATTATTCAAATTTATTATTAACCCTTTGTGCTTTTTGGACTGTCTGGATATACCGGCAATTATATTTCTGTTTTACCTATTCTGCAGTTGCATGCGCATGTGTTCACCTCATTGACCTCGCTTGTTTCTAGTTTCTTTTGTCTGGCTAGCCAAGCTTGCTTGGTCATGGCAACGCCAACAGACTTATAATAATAGTAATAATACTGGCTTCTATCATCACTCACGACATGCCTCCGTTTCTTGTTGCATCAATATAATGACTCCTGGTCCAAATAGGGACAACACAATATAATAATTATGAATAGCCCTGAAACCCAACTTAGGGTGCTGGGTAGTGCGCGATGTACCATCAGAATAATTTTATGTAGTATGCCCAGCACCAAAGAACAACTCAACTTATGCCAACATCACCCGGAAGAGACGTAAAGAGCGAAGTGTTTGATGTGTAATGATGGAGTTCCTCTGTTCACATGCATAAGCAGTGAGTGGTCTTCACGCATGTCCTGGGACCCACAAATACGAATCAGCATTATGGTCCTTCAGAGATACATGCAAGCAAAGAAATACAAGAAAGGTAACGGAAATCGTTGTGAAAGCCCAGCCACCGATTGTATGCACACACGTGGCAAGTGCAACAGCAAGTACCGTGGAAGGCACAGCAGAACAAGTTGAAAATGCAACTCTAGAAATACCAGAATAGCAGGATCACTTCTCAAATGCTTGAGACTTGGATTTACAAATGCTACGACAAAAATGACTATGTACATGGAAAGTTGGTTGCACCCCATACTAGAGGTCGAGCTTTTCTGCCGCCTTGACTGGACATTTGACTGACTCACGACTGCCATTCAGAAACTTGACAAACTCACGACTTCCATCCAGACACTTGACTGACTCACAACTGCCATCTAGAGCAGAGAAGAAGTCCCTCGAGCCCTCCTTCCGGCAAACCTGCAAGAAAGCACCACTCCCTGCTCAATACACAGTGTTTCGGGGAATTCACCCCTCATGCAGTTGAGCTTGAGTAGGCTGACGAACGTTGTACTTAGCGACCAACATTCCTATAAACTTGTCGCCGAAGTCGCTACCACTGTAATTGTACATGCATATCATTATTTAGTGGCAGATTTAATCTTGCGACACTCCGGGCAGGTCCAGTTCTTGCGCTTTGGCTTACTCTTCAGCTGCAAACAAGCCATGTGGAACAAACGAATACTGCAATCGTTGTTGGAACATCGCAGTACCTCGCCAGCCTTCACAGACTTGCAGTAGCAAAACTCCGGAGGGCGTTCTTGATCCGCAGTAGATGTTGTACTGGCAGCACCAAGTGGTTCCGAGGCTGATGTAGCCGCTGAAGACGCATCGGCAGGAAGAGTGGAGAACGTCTTAGTGAACCATTTCCCAACAAGCTCTGGGAGAACAGCACACTGGAAGAATTTCTTGGCACCTGCTACCGCTTCACGGATGAAATCTGTGTCTGCACAGATACGCTCCACAAACAGCTGACCTTCATTCCACACAACAAAGTCACAGTACTGCACCTTACACACCAGCATCTGTAGCTGTACTTGGTAGTAGTACATGTGGTCTTGCTTAAGATGGAGTGCTCCGCCGGACTTTACTAGACAGAACTTCCCTGAATCGGCAGCATCATGCAGGCTACTGTCTCGGCACCCGTACGGGCACTTCACTTCCACCACGCCGTTGCCACAGCAGGAGCACTGCACAAGGGAGTCGGGAGTAGCGCCAAGATATGGATAGTCCGGATGAATTACAAAGCCACTGGGCAGTACTTCAACCTTCTGATGTGTTGCACTGGCATGTTCACTATAGTTGTCAATTGCCTTCTGCTCGTGATCACATCCCCATTGTGTGGCTTTGCTACGAAACTTGTGTGCCTCAGGGTAACACACAGAGCGGACTAAGGACGCAGAGGGCTGGCTAATATCCGTACGAACAGCAGACTTCAACTTTGAAGCTGTGATCCGGCCGGCGCGAAATTCAAACCAGGCCTTGGAATCTGCCTGGTTCCGCGTAGCCTGTTCCACAGCGCGTGCTTCCTCCTCTGAAACACAGACCGCTGGAAATACTGCCTCGCAACGAACGAGCAGGTCCCCAAAACTAGCATCCAGCATGTCTGGTTCGTACAATAAATCCAAAATGGGTGGATATCCCTCCGGCTTGGAAGGTACGTACCTATCGCAGAACTCGGGAACAAGGGAGAGCAATGACGGTTTACCGGCTTGACATAAATTTCCATATATTTCACCCAGCTCAGCACTGGAGGGTTGCTTAATATCAGCAGGGACCTTCTCCTCCGACCTACGGCGCTTGCTCCCATGCTGTTTAGTGTCGGGTGCAGTGAAGTTTATGTCACGAATCCTGGCATACTCCACCTCCTTCATTGAAGGAGTTGACCATTGGCACGGCAATGAAGTGCTTCCTGTGTTCTGAATCAGCTGCGTTCTAGAATACAGGCTGAACAACAGTGCAGCAACGTGAGAACAAGACTCACCAAGACCAGCCATGCAGGTGCAGTGTGCACAAATCACGCTACCGTCGTTTTGCGCAGCAATCCAGGGTTGCAGATGGGTGCCGGAAACTGACTGGGAATGGCGGACTTTGGCGATGACAAACTTGCTGTCACATGTGTCAGATTCGGACGCTGGAAACGCACGAACATCGCCGACCCAGCCACTGACAAGGTATTTGTAGCCTTCCAAGCTCTTGTAGGCCTTGAGCTGCTCCTTGGTGTAGGGGCTGGGCGCGTTGACCAAGAAATTGTAAATATCGGGATAGTCCACAAGTGGAAATTTATCTTCCTCTAAAAAAATACTTCTGGGCAGGTAAGGATCACTCGAGTCTGGTGAAACGCGCTCGAGCTTTTCACGGTACCGGCATTTGCTGGAGTCATCTAACTCGTCATACACTTTTGAAAACTTGGGAGAAGTCATGGCCACTGATTCAGCGTTCGTACAATAGTCCTTTGTAAAGAACAGAAGAGGAACGTAACAGCGATACAGGAAATTTCCTTCGTGAAATTATTCCAGGCACATGTACTTCTTTTGAACTTTTCATCTCTTTTGCCACCCCTGCGGAGCGCGGCCGCTTTGGCCGCCTACACGCCGCCTGCACGTGATCCTTTCGCATAACCTCTATACTTTTTTGTTTTGTTTTTCAAGCCAGAGGGTGGAGGCACTTCTCAGCAGCCTGTTTAACTTGTCATGCCGTTTTTGAATATGTTGGGATGTGTGTGTGTGTGTGTGTGTGTGTGTGTGTGTGTGTGTGTGTGTGTGTGTGTGTGTGTGTATGTGTGTGTGATTTCTCTCTGTTTTTGTCCATAGCTTGCAGTGCAGCTGGCTGTGCTGATTGCCAAGGTGTTTCGTCTGGATACTCCCAAACAATGGCCGCAACTTCTGCCGCATCTTATCCAGGTACATGTGCACTGAACATTGTGCTGTTTTGACTGGCATACCTGGAACGGTTGTGCAGTACCGGGAACTATTGTGCACTACATTTTGCTCATGATTTTAGTACGGGTATGTGTACTGGCTGGCAGTGTCAGAATGAGAGATCTTGTGTGCAAGAGGAGTTCAAGCTTCAGCTTCTTCGTCCTAAATAATCTCACCATTTTCGTCATGCCTTTCCTTGCAGTACTCTCTGTTGTTTCTCTCCTTATTATTTAGTTCGGCGTGGTTGGCTACCACCCAACTTCTCATAGATATTGGCAGTCTTACGACGAGCCAGGAGATGTTGAATAAACAATAAAGCGTATTAGGGTCCTGGTTATGTTCAGCTCTCCAAAAATCACGGTTTGTGTTCAACCCAGTCAGACTGAGGTTTGCGCATGCATAGGAATGCCACCACTCAGCTCTCCATGGACTGTATTTGTTCTCAGTTGCTCTACAGCATGTTGTTCCAGTATTGTATCTCCTCTGCTTGGCCTATGCGGGCCAGAAAGCTGTCAGGAGCCAGGGGAAATAGTATCAAGAAATAGTTGAGCTTGCATTCGGGTAGGCACAGGGCGGAGTTTGGCTCAATTTTGCGAGGACAAAAGTACAATTTCTACTCCTTTTACATTGCTATACTTTGATCTAAAACAATGCTGTAACTTGTTCGCTCATTGGTATTCAATGTTGCTGTGCTTGTTGCCATAGCTCGTAAAAGGCTCATCAGGCTTAATCCTGCACCGGTCCATCATGACACTGAAGCACGTCATTAAGTCCATGGCGTCTTGGAGGCTTCGGTCCCACCGTGATCTCTTTGAGACTGTGAGTAGCAGGGATATGTCTGTCTTGGTCTGGTGGTTCAGCTATCCTGCTACTGTCTTGGTCTGGTGGTTCAGCTATCCTGCTACTGTCTTGGTCTGGTGGTTCAGCAGTGGTTCAGCTATCCTGCTACTTCCAAGTACTTCAGTACATGTATCTCTTTCCTGCTCAATATTTGTGTGCTAGACTTAGTCATTTGCGCTGATCCCCTGTTTTTTTTTTATCTGTGTGTGCTAGTGCATGTGTGTGTACATGTGTGTGTGTGTGTGTGTGTGCGCGTGCATGTGCGCGCATGCTTGCACACGTGTGTGTGTGTGTGTGTTTATGTACATATGTGCATGTGTATGTATGTGTCTATGTGCGTGTGTGTGTGTGTGTGTGCGTGTGCGTGTGCGCGCTTTCTGAAAACAACCGATGCCTGTGTGTTCTAGATTGCTGGTGAGCTGTTCCCGTTTGCTCTGGGGCTGTGGTCTCAGCAAGTAAACTTGTTTGTATCAGCATTACAATCTACAACAGCACAACAATCAGTAACTAACGGGGTACGGTCTCAATGCATGCATTATTATACTTCTTTGAAGCGCATGTACAATGTTATTGTTTAAAAATGCTCTCCCGACAGATGTCTAGAGGCCTTTGTGTGAACCCTGAAAGGGATGTGGCTGCAAGCCTGGCAAGCTGTTTGTCCTTAAGCTATCCCTTCACCACTCAGTGACTCTGTCTCTGTTGCTTGCCTGAGTGTATGTAAGTTTGTGTTTGTGACGGCTGGTCTATGCTTTGCGGAATGCAACTGGCCGCTCATGTGTGCTATGTTGCTGTGTCTTGTTTTGCACACTTAGGTTGAAGACAACTGTGCGTCTTCTCTGGAACTTGGCACACTGTCCCTAAGAAGTGAGTTTACTGTTATTGATTGGTGCTGAGAATAGGATGGTGATGTTGTGTGTGTGTGGGGGGGGGGGGGGGGGGGGGGGGGAGGTGGAAGCGGAAGCTCTTCCTGGGTGAGGTCTTTTCGGCACATGTCGTGACAAGCTTATCGTCTTCTTGCGGTGCTTACAGCTTTGCTGGATTGTGTCTTACTGTGTCTATTTGTCTGTTTGCCTGTCCCCATAGTGTTGCGACAGTTTGCTGTGCATGCATTTGCCAACTTCGGTGATGTCCAAGCAATGCCGGTTAGTTTACATTGACAGTTTGATAGTCAAACAATCAATTTCTCCATCTCTCAATCTCCTTCCCTCTCCCCCCCCCCCCCCCCCCCCCCCATCTCCATAGGTTCATGTTTCCAAGGTAGTTAGTGATTGTATTGTCTGGGCAGTAGTCGACTGAAATCCGTAATATTCTTAAAGTGCTGTTAAATTCACTTTGAAATGCTTGTATATGTATGAGTGTGTATGTATGAGTGTATGTGTTTGATGTCTTGGTACACAAGTTCACAGTGGCTGGAAACGTTGATGTCTCAGTGTACATGTGCTCACACTGTTGTCCTGTGCTCTCATGTGTTATGTTTTGCGCGTACATGTGTTGTCATCTATATAGGAATTCATGCAGCGGCTGCTCACGACGATCGACCAACTACTAGCAGCGCGTATGTATATTATCTGTACATGTTCATGACTACAGTAGTTGACTACAAACTTTGTGCTGTGCTACTATGCTAGTAGAGAGGTTCCGGGGTACGATTTTCCGTGCCAAAATCTGTGTGGGCGCTACGGATTTTTTCCAGGCGTGCTCCACACGATTTTTCGGCACGGAGAATCCGTGTGGACTGGCTTTCAATGATTTTTTGCGCACGCGCAAAAATATGTTAACACAGAAGGCGCATGCTCTGTTCCCAACAAACTCTCACACGCTCATTGTTCTCCGAAGTCCACTGTTCCTGACTTCAGTTCTTGCTTTGTCCGCATTGGCAGTGGATTTCTTTCTCAACCCACCCACCCACTCCACTATTGTCATTATCATGTTTCCTATTCTAGTTCTCTCCTGTCGGTATCCATTATCATACCAGCCTACAATAACTACACCGATGCCGTCTACCGGCGAAACTCTGTAAATACATGGAGGGGAGTCAACCTTGCTTACCAGGCTCCTCATACGGCTCATTCAGCCTCTCACACTCAGACGGCTCACTCAGCCTCGGCTCACTCAGCCTCGGCTCACTCAGCCTCTCAATACGGCTCACTCAGCCTCCGCAGCCGGGCCCTGCCCGGCTGCCTCCATACGGCTCACTCAGCCTCCGCAGCAGGGCCCTGCCCAGCTGCCATACACACACATTCACACAGCTCTAAGCTGTCACTCACTCGGAGCCTGGCAAAGCAATTGACAAACCCTCCTATTCCCCAAACTGGTTGCTCGTTGTGTGAGTGCGGCATGCAGATGCTTGTGTTAACACGAACCATGTTTCGTATGGAGATTTTGCGTCATCGGGTGCAGAAAGATTTTTCGCGTACAAATTTGGTACGAGAAACATCGATTTTCTGCGGGAAGTTTTGATTTCGGTACAAATTTTCAAAATAAAAAGGCATGGCGCGGGAATGTGACGTGTTTGCGATCGTAACCTAGGCAATGACGGCAAACACATAAGTTCCGTACTCCGGAACATTTCACTGCTCGAAAACGACGTATAAAAAATCCGTAGCGCCTCTACGGATTTTGGCACGAAAAATCGAACTCCGGAACCTCCCTAATGTGTTGGTGTAGATCTGTATAGCAGTGATGTGATAATAATTATGCTGGTGTGGACCTGTATAGCAGTGATATTCTGTTATGTGCTGGTCTACCGTTAGTGCTGTATAGCAGTGCTATGCTTATGTGCTGGTATAGAGCTGTATAACAGTGCTGTGATTATGTGCTGGTCTAGACCTGTATAGCAGTGCTATGCTTATGTGCTGGTATAGAGCTGTATACCAGTGCTATGATAATATGTGCTGGTCTAACGTTAGTGCTGTATAGCAGCGCTATGCTTATGTGCTGGTATAGAGCTGTATACCAGTGCTATGAAGCCTATGATTATACAGTATGCTGGTATAGACCTGTATAGCAGTGCTATGATAATACTGTATGCTGGCATGGTATTGTAACAGTGCTGTGTTAGTGGGCTACAACCAGAGAATGGGATTTAAAAATGTCCCTCCTTGATCTATCATGCTACCTCCTCTCAGTCTTGGAATTTGCTGACGCAACATGGGTGTGTTTCGCTGCATGGATAGCACTCAGTGAAGACGTGATAGTTCCAGAAAGTCTGCTCCCATGCACAATCTGATTGGTGTTCACAATGGTTTGCAGGTGAAGAGTAATCAATAACGTAGTAAGTCGAAGGTTGGCTTTATCAATGTGCATGTTAGTCTGTGCAGTAACAAACACACGTGTGTATGTATTATGTGCCTCAGGTGCACATCTGGGTGAAGCACATCCTCTGACCGAAGCTGTAGAGAAACAGTGCATACTATGCACCAAGGTGGTAAGTCTGCTACTTCCAAATATGACCAGTACTAACGTTATTCTGCTGGCTCCTGTCTTCGAATGCTACTTCTGTCTATGCAATGTGCCATGCCCTGGTGTGGCTTGTATGATCAGTTGTTAAGCCGAGGTCAAGGCAATGACTAATGAATACAAGACCATGTGTTTGTGCTTGCTGTCCCGCTCTGGAGAAACATCACTATGACTTTGTAGTCCAACAAGTGTATATGACTATACGTACCTTTTCATTTGTTGCATGTTTGTTGTGTGGACTGTTGATCACAGCTGCTTGATCTACTGACGAACAAGCCCCTGGAGATCCTTCCCTACCTGAAGGATATTGTTGAGTTCTTCTGTGTCAAGTACTTGTTTGCGGAAAATGTGGAAGGTACGGACTGGCCGGCATACCACGCTGTTTGATTTCTCACTGTTGAATGTGTGTTTAGAGGCGTGTGTGCCACTGCACAGTGCAGCTACTCTTTAACAGCAGGGGACTGGGTGGCGATAGCGCAGATCTGTCAGATCTTTGTCAATGATTCACGGGGGAAATTTCAGGAAAATCTCGACACGAGTAACTCTACATTGTACACACTGCTGAGTCACTTTATCTCTGCAGAGGTGCTTTGTGGCGAAAGACAAATCACTGTACTCACTGTATTGAGCCCTGCACCCTGTCCTAGGCTCATGCCTCACTTAGCTGGCAACATACTAACAGTGTTTTCGGTACCTTACCACTTTGTTCGTACATGGTTTATAACATAACTGTTATCGTGTTGTCACTGTTGTGTAACTTCGTGTCGTAGGTGCATGTGCTGTCTGTGTAACTCAAAGTAACTATTTACTAAGGTTACCAGTGAAACAAAGCACACAACAGTAACACACTTCCCGTTATCTCCAATGCACCCAGCAACTAGACTGGATCGAATAGTTATGAGGATCAGAATAAGAATAAGAATGAAAGCTTAGTCAAATCATACAATGGTTATGATGCCCATTCTGAGATCGAGACTCTTGGGGAGGGGGTCTTCTAGTTAGCCAACCAGAACATCTTAATAGACCCATTGCGCAATGACGTAATTTGTTCCATAAACACCCTTCACAGCCACCTGAGGGGGGGGGGGGGGGGTCGTCTGGGGTGTTGAACAGCGCTTTTCTGATCCCAGCATACTCACAAGCATTACTCATGCATTCCATATTTGGCTGTGAAGGGTGTTTTTACGTCATTGCGCAATGGGTCCATTATAGTACAGTCGACCTACCCTTATAACGATAACCTCTATAACGATATTACCCTTATAACGATATTTTTCTGCCAAACCAAATCACTTCATTGACTTGTGTATACAATGCCTTACCTCTATAACAATATTGCTATAACGATATTACCCCTATAACAATATAAAATGGGCTGACCAATCGACATTTTCCATTTTATAACAATATCTAGCAGGGAATATAATTAGAGCCCACTATCCAGGTAAGGCAAGCTTCACTTGATAAGTCGCTGGGACACGACGAAATGCAACAGGGGCACCAGTGGGCACCTTGCTGTGTACATAATGTGCATGTAAAATGATGTATATCAGTTTTTATGCTATGAAGAGTGTAAAAAATGAACAAAATCCATGCATTATGACGTATGTGTATGAAATGAACCAGTTACCCCTATAACAATATTACCCTTATAACAATATTTCTTGGTCTGACGCAAATATCGTTATAAGGGTAGGTTGGCTGTACATAATTATCAGAGAGTCTGGGGGGGCTGGAGTCTTGGGGGAGGGGGTTCTAACTACAGTTACATTCACTGAAATCCAACCCAAAGTGCAAACTGGCGCCCTGGACTGGTTCCGATTACATCACTCTACTTGTACATATGTGTACGTCCAGCCGCATTCGTGCCACTTCCAGGGGCGTCAAGGGCCGTGCAAGTTGAGAGCGCTGAATTTGCACTTTGGTCGGATTTCACTGAGTGCAACTGTTGTCAAAACAAGAGAATATAGAAAATTTGTAGATGCAACACTTATTTTCATACTATCATTAGCAATAATAGAAAGGCTGACAGGATTGCTTTTCTTAATACAGGGTCCCGGTGCATGCTGTGTAATATTATACCTAACATATGAACTTGTGCCATAACGCAACTATGTACAAATGCGAGTCAAATACGTACACTATAATTTTAAGAACGGTCTAGGCCGGATTCTTTGCAGATAAGAACGGAAACCGTAATGTACACTATAATGTACACTCAGACGTATTACTCTGTATAAATATACACGTAGGACTGTACCATCGAATAAGAACGAAACTGCTGTGTTCGCTAAAAATAAGAACAGGCTAGGCTAGAACCCTGACCCCCCAGTTCTTGGGCACCCGGCAGTACTATAGCTGTGCCGTGCCAGATAATACCTTCTTTGGCGGGCATTTGCATACCAGACAGCAATGAACGTAGTTCTGGACCGATTGTGTCATGCCAAACCAGAAAAACCGGCTTTAGCGTTTGGCCACCTTCTTGGGCACAACGCCAATGCCTGATGTACGGAAGGGCCGAAATGGTGGTCGATCAAAAGGACCGCAGGTATTTGTATTGTATTTATTTGCATTTGTATTGAATTTATTTAACTTAGGTGGCTCAACAGTACAATGTACTACAGTAAGATCGGGCGCCGAAGAACGCAGGGGCTCGAGCGCAGCCTAGGAAAGTTCTTAAATTTTTGATTCTAGCCAGACCGTTCTTATTCACACGCGCGCGGCGAGTCGAGTGACGTCATGACGTTTGTCATGTACATGTAGTGCAATGTAGTACTTCTAAACTAGTGGGTGTCGTAAATGGGAATGACTGTACATGTAGCAGTTACTGTTTACACGTGTACATGACATGTACTCACCTCCCATACATGTACAATGTAGATCTACGTACAATGTAGATCTAGTGTTCTTAAATCTGATAATTCTAGCCTGGACTGTTCTTAAATTTTGCCGGTTTTCCAGCCTGGGTTTTCTTCGGCGAGGTGTTCTTCGGCGCCCGATCTTACTGTACTTACACTAAGGGGCCTATATGTGCAACTCCAGCCCGGGCTGGAGCGAGCGGGCCAGCCCACCAAGGGTGTTTACTGAGTACATGTGCAAGGCCGGGCTGGTCGCCAGCCCGCAGTGAGTTTATATGCGCTGAGCACACGCCAGCCCGTTGTGAGTAGGCAGCAAACACACTACGACTGTAGTGTGCTGCCCCGGGCTGAAACGCAGGGCTGCAACCCATACTCAGGTTTTATTACAATCATGTCAGGTGACCGTTTCCAGGTCTACAGCCAATCAGCGACCAGATAGAGCGGGCAATATTTCTCCATACAAGCCCGCTCAGGCGGTCCAATATTACACGATATTGCCCGGCATTTGACCCCATACACACTGTACACATACACATACAAGTAGGTGCGCATGTAATACCAGTTGGATACATGTGCCTCGTAGTTTTTCGTACCATTATCCCGAATTCCACGTGTGAAGGCAGTGTACGTTGATGAGTACATCAAATTAGGGAAGTATGCATGTAATAAATGTGTTATTAGCCTCGTAGTACGGGCAACACCGGCTACGATATCTGCCCTCACGGCTAACGCCGTTCGGGCAGATATCGGCCGGTATTGCCCTGATACTCGGCTAATAACACATACATAAATCTAAAAACTTTTTTTCTCACACAATGTATTCTTCTGCTGATTTCTTTTCGCGCTGTGGCACATGTTTTGTGTGTTGTACCACCTCGTTTCTTTTTCCTGTTTTTCACTTTTTTAGCTGTCCATATCAAAGTATTTTGCAAGTAGTTCCCCTTCCATTTCAATGAAAATCATGCATGTCGACTAGTGGTGAAACGAATATTCGAATATTCGAACATTCGTTCGATTGATCACATTCGAATATTCTTTAAGTCGCATTCGAGTATTCGTGACGTCACTTCGAATGCAGTGCACGTTCATACGTGCACACCAAACACAGTACAGTGCAGTGCGTACAGCGTGCCTGTGACTTTGTACTGCATGTTTGCACATGTATGTGCATACTGGACTGCCAATGTAGCAAACCACATGTATAAACTTCAAAGTAGCCTTATGTGGCAGTGCATTTTATGTGGCACTACTGTTTGTCATACCTAATAACAATGACAGCATCCATCAAATGACTGAGAGGAGGTAATGTAATGTCATCTGTGTTACCAAAAGAATATTCGTTCGTTCGTTCGTTAAGCCAAAGAATATTCGACTACTAGAATTTGACGTTCGTTTCACCACTAATGTCGACAAATAAACAGTGCTCACTTCACATCCTTCTTGTTGCTGTACCAAAAGCTTCATAGATTTTCAAGACAATATCGGGAATCCTCTTTATAACTTCCCTCAAAAGGTAAAAGTACCTATTTTGTAGTATGAACGCAGTGTCGACACCATAATAATACAACTCTGGCCCGGGCTGGTCTGTTTATATGTGCTTTTCCTGGCCCGCCTAGCCGGGATCCCGGGTGCCTCGAGGCGGGATCCCGCCTCGCCGGGCCAGCCCGCTTGCCACGTAAACGCACCACAGATTTTGTGTGGATTTGTGTACAACCCCGCGATCCCGTTGCAGGCGGGCTGGCCCGCCTGGCGACCGGCCCGGGCTGGAGCTGCACATATAATCACCCCCTAACACTAGTAACAGTTCCTCACCCTATAAAAGCTGCTGTTCACAATTCTCTTCATGTCAGTTTAGAGTTAGAGTTCAACCTTCAATCCAGTCTTTAGTAATAATAAAGTTAACAACAGTGTGTTCACTGAGACCCGTGTGCATTTGCCTCCGAGAGAGACCGGCTGCGGACCGCTACAGTATGACAAAGCAAAGAGGCAACCATTGTGGGGGGGGGGGGGAGTTACGAACTATGCACAGTGAAGGGATAAGTGGATGTACATGACCAAGGATAGGGTATACCGGACAAAGTTGCCATTGTTGGGAGCAACGGATTGGGAAGTACAACAGTACTGTGGTAATGAGTGCAAATGCAAAATCATAAGATGGAGCGATAAAACGATAGAGATTAATTCGCCAAGTGGTACTTGGATGGTTTGGTGTTGTTGGCCACGTACTCCATCATTCTCATCCATCTGATGGCTAAGCATTCTTCTTACCGGTCTTCTCAGGATCACTCTGAATTGCGCGGTACGCGACGTATGCAATGGCACCTGCTGTTCCTGCAACTAGTACTGTTCCTGCAACTAGTACACAAGGAGTTACAGCAGCTCCAACAGCGGCTGCACATCCTCCCTTGGTTGCCATTGCAAGAGTGCCAGTAACTGCCGCCTGTGTTCCCTTGATTGCCAGGCTAAGCTTTAGTTTAGCATACGAAGCGGTGGCAACTATCTCCAGCGGGCTTGACATGATGATCCTCACTGAGTAGGTCCAATCACTCGGAATACAGTCCGCTATAAGCAACTGCTGTTACACAACCGACTAGAAGGCAGTTCACTTGCCTTGGGTCCTCACTGCTTTTCTCGCCCAGGAATTGCTACTAGTGTTGAAACGAGCGTATCTATAACAAACGAGCGATCAGTTCCACTAACGAGCAAGCTATCGAGCGAGCTAACGAGTTTCATTGACTGCCTTGTACATATTTCTGGCCCTGATACTCGCTTTTCCGGGAAAAGCGAGTATCAGGGCCAGAAGTACAGTAGGTATCGGTTATAGCGTGGGTGTTTGAAAAACGACTTTCTATTCTTATTTCCGCTATTTCTTACACACGATAAATCAAGTGTGACATACCATGTACATGTGCGCAGAGGCAGGAAGATCATACATGTACTACAAAGAGGCCCGGAAAACCGGTCTTTATTTATTTATTTATTTCTGCACCTCAGCATTTCAAGACTGCCAATTGAATTGAGGAGAGGGTGAGACCAACCACGGAAGAAGAGAAGAAGAAAAAAAAGAAAAAAAAGCACGTACACAAAAGGGATAGGGATTAGCAAGTTACAAAGCAATGTGGTGCCCAGCGAGCTATGCAGCGGAAGTGGTGACTGTGATTTTGTTTACTGGAAGATACTGAAGTGCTGTCTGATGAGGGTACGGAATTTGGGCATATCTGGAGCTTGCCTAACACTGGGAGGCAGTTGGAGCCACGTGGAGTAGGAGGAAAAGAAAGGGGGAATTTACGGATAGGGTAGACCTAGCTAGGGGGAGACGAACGCGGCTTCAGGTGGTACCACCCGACTTAAACCAATTAAGTAACTGCAACTGAGCAGGGTGCTGGTCAAGAAAATGGAATGAACCAGGGTGCACTTGGAAGCCTCAAGGTAGCGTTGCAAGGTGGTAGTGGATGCAGCAGCATACAAGTCTGGATTTGAGATGACATTGTAACGATCAATACGAAATATTATGCGCAGTATACGGCGATGAAGAACTTCTAATTTCGCGGTTTGGGTTTTGTTAATGGTAGATCAAGCAGGGAAGCCGTACGTGAAGAGGGGGAGAATGTATGATTTATAAAAATTAATCCGGCAATTGTGGGGGAAGTGACTTGTCATTATGCCGACAGATCGGCATATGCGTAAGGACACATGGTCAGCATGGTAAGACCAGGAGAGGGCAGAATCTATGACAATGCCAAGGTGTTTATGATGGGGCGCTACAGAAATAGGGTGACCGGGATCGTCGGGAAAGTGGAAGATGGGCACTGGATCTGTGGGATGAGGAAAAAGGAGGAGCTCGGTTTTAGTCACATTTGGCTTGAGGTACCAAGTGCTCATCCAGTGGACAATGTTGTTGAGGCAGGTCTGAACTTTGGGGTACAGGGTGGCGTGAGATGGGGAGGAAGCAAGACAGTGGTATCGTCTGCGAACAAAGAAATATTGGGAATTGCATAGGGGAGGTATGTGAGGAAGAGCAGGGGACCCAAAATGGAGCCCTGGGGCACTGCGGACGTCACCGATTCGGGGTCAGATAAAGTTCCTTTCACTGTGACGCGCTGATTTCGGTCGGAGAGATAACTAGTTATCCAGGTGGGTAGGGAGCCGGAGACACCGTGAGCACGAAGTTTGGCGATGAGGCCCTTGTGCCACACTGTGTCAAAAGCCTTGGAGAGGTCAAAGAAACAGATGCAGGAGACCTGCCGCTGGTCTTTTAGAGAGCAGAGGTCTTGAATTATGCGGGACGTGTTGTCCTTACGACTGAAGCCACATTGTGAGGGATGAAGAAGAGGGGAGATATGGTCATACAAGCGGTCGTACACTATCCTCTCTAGCATTTTGGAATTGGAGCCCCTTTTCCAGTTCATGTGTCATCAGGGGTTTTTATGTCCCGACGATAGCCCTTCCGATTACTCTCTCACATGTACCACAAACAGAGGACTGATATTTGTCGTTCTTACTTCGAGGAGAGTCTCAGGAAGAAGGCCAAAACAACAAGAATGCGTACAATAATTATGCAAGCATGCGCAGTCCGCACGCGGTCCGCACACACGTGCCAAAAGGGGCACAAACCCTCCAAAAGGGCAGGGACAACACATGTGTGTTGATAGGTGTGTGTGGTGCGTGGGGAGTGCATGAGCCTCCACAGAACAGGCAGACATGTTTAAATTTGCAGTTGGTGGATGTGCAAGACCCGGATGAAGCGTCTGCACACAGGCTGATTCTGGCCGCCTTTCGCTGGTTGGGAGCCACGAAAAAGAGACGTTTCTCTACGCCCTGCGAAACAGGAAGTTGCCACGTGGCTGGTCTTGTGGCACTTGACGAATACGGGTAGCACATGCCCTGTGAAACACTGTGTAAACAACTATGTATCCATCACACCAATGGAACGCGAGGAGTCTTTCACAATTGCTTGGCGGACCCGGCTGTCGAAGTCCAGCATCGCCGCCAAACGATAACTTTGGGCAGCCTGCACTATCCTCAGCTGATGCTGCATCCGCCTTGTCCACTCCGCAATGTGAACCACCCACCGAATCGTGAACAGATGAAATAGCTAGTGTTCGAAGCTCATGGGGACAACGGACAGTAAAATGATGTTACCCTCCACCTCAACCTGTCGCCGTAGAACACAATTCACTACCTTGAGCTGGGACGTGTTGGCTGCAAAATGGCGCACATCACGAGACTTCCGGAGTTCCTCAGTGTTTTTGTTGCCTTACCACTTTGTTGATACTTGTACTTAGTTTTATAATAATATCGTGTTTTGTAACGTGTTTGGATGCAAGAAGGGTTTGCATATTACTAGCATGTTTAAATAAGGAATCAGATTTTTTTAGTGTCCCTGCTTCTGTATTGCTCTGTTCTGGCCATGTGAATGTTGCTGCAGTGTTACTATTTGAGAGGTTTATAGTGCAAGGCCTGAACTTCATGAAGGGTATGCTGCTCTGCAGTGACTACACACCGAAAGTCAACAAGGACACACATGGTGAGCTAGCGGTTTAACTCTATAAGCATACTGTTAGTTTGTACTGCTGCTTGTCCTGTTTTTGTGATGCTGGAGTGTGGTGATGTGATCTAGTTATGTAAGATGAATGTCAGTGCTGGACGTCTTGTCATGTTGAATAGGTCTGTTGTGTTTCTCTGGAGTAGTTTGTGGTACGCCAGGGCTAAGCATGGCACACTCTGTCTGCAGGTGCCAGCTAATTAAAGTGCCCTTAAGCTAAGCACTGGTGTTCTATTGTGTTACTGTGGATATCAGTGCAATGCTTCAAAAGTGCATTGCATTGTCCCGTTGCAGATGGCAGACCACCCCATTGCCCCAAGCTGACCATTCCATTTCCCCTAAGCTGACCATTGCATTGCCCCTCAGCTGACCATTCCGTTTCCCTTAGCTGATCATTGCATTGTCCCACTGTGCTTGTCTTGCTGCAGTGCCATCACCTAACCAAGATTCTCGAATTGTTAAAGGATATGAGGTGAGCTTATGCCCTGTATTGCTGTGTAGTTAGCTTTGGCCTCAATTTTGTATGTGTGTGTTTGTGTGTGAGTGTGTGTGTGTGTGGGGGGGGGGGGGGGGGGGGGGGTGCATGCATGCATGCATGCACGGGTATGTGTGTGTGTGTATTCAGTGTAGTTTGGTTATAATCTCTCTGTCTCTCCTATATGCGGTTGGTGATGATGCAGATAAAGATGATGTTCTTTACGTCTGAAGTCTCGGCAAATATTGTGCGTCAACTTGTCACCAGATTCTTCCCGCTTAGACAATCTGTAAGTGAATGACAGACAGAGGTTGTGTTACCGGTGCATCAGGTCTTGACATGCATGATTTGCCTTCTTCACCCATCCTGGACTCTGTGGCGTATACAGTAACTTTGCATTACAGTCGAGGTCATCAGGGTACTGTATCTGTTTGTTCTGTTCTCTACCAGGAGATTGACAGCTGGGAAGATGACCCGGAGGGTTTTGGTAAGTCGAGTGTATGTCTAATACAAATACAGTGCAGATGCAGGTTTGTTTGGGAAGCTAAATTTTCGCCTCATATCCCGGGGTCACTTGAGCTAACTTCAACGTTGGTGTTGTGTACTGTTTTACAGTGCAATAGACTTTATAGACTGTTAGCTGTAAACTGCGCTGCTGCATGTGCTCGTATGTTATAGTCCACGGGAAGTAAATGCTGTGCAGTGTTTCCACAAGATATTCGGCTGATATGAAGTCCTGTCAGTGGACAATGTACACTGTACACTGTGTTTGCAGTGGTGCATGGAATGCTATTTTCTTACTGGTCAAATTCAAATTGTAGCGGTGCTTTGAAAAGTCTTTCTCTTCACCAGTTACGTGTGCCGTGTGTTCCTGCAGCTGATGAAGAAGCTGGCGAGTCTTGGAAGTTTGCTCTGAGAGTGAGTAATGAGTCTAGTTGTACGATGTACTTACTTACTACTTGCTCCAGAAACTAAACACTTCACGACTTATTTTATTTGCATTGTAAGGAGTTACTGTGCTCGAGAAATTTGGTTCAGTGGAGCAAAAACACTTCAAGACCAGGATTGGATATAATTGTGTACACTACATTATTTTGTCGGACTGTGACATTAATTTTGTATTATGAAAATTAATTGTGACCTTAGAGTCTGACTCGGAGTCCCCGTTGCTTGATTCCTCATAGCTCAATTCGCCTCACCTCAGAGGTCGAATGAAGTCACAAAGTGTTTTGTTTCTGGATGAGGCATACTGCATTTACTTGCAGATCCACATTGGCGCTGGAAGCTAGGATGAGGTTTTTAGAATTTTTTTCTGCTGTATGAAAGTGTGTTTCAGTACCGCTTGGAAGGAGTGAATTGAAACTCGTTTATACGCAGTATGGCATGCGCTCTATTTCTTTTCTGGCGGCAGGCAGGTGGAACTCTCTTCCAGCTGACTGTCGACAGGCCCACACTCTCGCTCTGTTCATTAATATGGTTAAACTTCACCTTGGGTTCCCAGTAAAAAGGCAGTAGCCTGTTGGGACTCCCCTAGTAAAATAATAAAAACTACTACTACTACTACTACTACTACTACTACTACTACTACTACTACTACTACTACTACTACTACTACTAAGTAACTTTCAGTTAGGACTCTCTATGGTTGATTCATGCAACGTTGTCCCGCACGAGCTCCAGTGCGACGCCGGTTGTTTCGTTCTGTTCAATGAAGAGCTGCACAGGATCCAGTGCATGCAGCGCATCCGGCTTCTTCACCGCCCTCTTCACCACCTCCACATCGTCCTCATCTTGGCTCTGCTCCTGACAGTCCGTTTGCAGAGAGCAAATAATGTCATCATCTGTTGACAGGGCACATACATCGGCACCATCATCAACGCTTGCATATTCGTCTTCATGGATATCACCAGACACAGTAGCTCGGTGCTGGAAAGCCGTGATATAGTCCTCAAGCCCCTCGCTATCCCAGACCTCGGTTGCATCGAAGCTCGCAGAATCCAGAGTCTCCTCGGATGGCTTTTCGAACCCTCAATGCCAGAATCAAGCAGTGCTTGTCTTTTCCGACACGCTACACCAGAAGTCCTGTAAAACATTTAAAAAAACCGTGTGCGTGTGTGTCTGTATATATGTGTATTAGTGGTGAAACGAATGTCAAAACCTACTAGTCGAATATTCTTCAGCTTAACGAACGAATGAACGAATATTCTTTTGGTAACACAAATGACATCACATGCCCTCCTCTCAGTCATTTGATGGATATTGTCTATTTATTAGGTATGACAAACGGTATCTCGTTATCGTTATATTTCCCTCTAGCCCTCTCGCTTAGGATGAGCTTTCTTTTTTATGGCAGCTTAAGCGAAGGCTATATACCTGCTTTATGCAGGTTGATGCCAACGCGAACAAGCAAAATAATAATAATAATAATAATGACAAACGGTAGTGCCACGTAAATTATACTGCCACATAAGGCTACTTCGAAGTTCATAAATGTTATGTACACCATTGGCAGTCCAGTAAGGACATACATGTGCATGCATGCAGTACAAAGTAACAGGCAGGCTTTACGCACTGCACTGTACCGTGTTCGGCGTGCATGTATGTACAGGCACTGCATTCGATGTGACGTAACGAATACTCGAATGTGACTTAACGAATATTCGAATGTGACAAACCGAACGAATGTTCGAATGTTCGAATATTCGTTTCACCACTAATGTGTGTGTGTTTGACTGTGTGTACATGTATGACTATGTGTTTGTGTTCACATATGCTGCGTACTTGTGCAACTAGCCTTGCGTGGAGACAGCATTTGCGACTTTGATGTCAATGTTCAGTATCAACCTGGCACCTATAGTGGCTTCAATGGTTCCCAGTGTTCAAGGTCAGTACATGTAGTGATGTGCGGTGAACACAGCACTGCCAAGCATGCTCTTGCTGCATGCTTCTGTCTATCCCTTGCCTCACGGCCTAGTGCCCAGGGAAGTTAGTGTAAACCTGTAAACCTGCATGTTCATGTACCAATCTCAACACTCACGTCAATCCACTACAGTGTACAGTGCTGCTCGGTGAGATCCGATCATGTGAGTCAATGTGGGTTAGCGAGGTGAAATTCTAACGAATTCTGTCTCAAAACCGGCAGTTCATAGCACTCAGTACTGACGATGACTGCTGGAACCCACTTTGGTCCATGGCTGCTGAAACTCAGTATGTACACAACGTCACCGACCGGGTTGCTCTGTGTGTGTATGTGTGTGTGTGTGTGTGTGTGTGCGTGTGCGTGTGTATGTGTACATGTGCGTGTGTATGTGTGCGTGTGTGTGTGTGTATGTGCGTGTGCGCACATGCATGTATGTGCGTGTATTTGTGTGCCCATGTTGGTGGTGTGACGTTGCAGACTTGGACATTCATGATCATAATGCTGTCAAGATTCGAGAAGCAGGTGAGGTCACCACACATGACGGTTACAAGCTATGAATGTATGCATGGACTATAAAGAGAAGGACAACTGAGATGATTCATAAATAAATGACGCGGAGAAAACAATTTTAAAATAGCAGTACATATAGGGTGATGACGGCAGGATTTATCCTATTTATTGCTATTTTGAGATGATTCATCAGGACAATTATAACCTAGCTAGTGGAACAGATGTGGACTCTAGCAAAACTGTAGTAGTGTACACAAATTTTCGGTATTCATTTTTTAAATCGAAAGGAATGCTTCTGGTACTTCCCCTATGAAATGGTGCACAGCATAATCGGTGTTCATTCGACGTGTTCTTTCACCCAGGGTTAGTACAGTAAAACATGTATTGACCGGACCCTGTACCAAGCGGCATCCTGTGTTGGCCGGACCCTGTACCAAGCGGAATCCTGTATTGACCGGGCCCTGTACCAAGCGGAATCCTGTATTGACCGGACCCTGTACCAAGCGGAATCCTGTATTGACCTGACCCTGTACCAAGCGGAATCCTGTATTGGCCGGACCCTGTACCAAGTGGAATCCTGTATTGGCCGGACCCTGTACCAAGCGGAATCCTGTATTGGCCGGACCCTGTACCAAGCGGAATCCTGTATTGACCGGACCCTGTACCAAGCGGAATCCTGTGTTGGCCGGACCCTGTACCAAGCGGAATCCTGTATTGGCCGGACCCTGTACCAAGCGGAATCCTGTATTGGCCGGACCCTGTACCAAGCGGAATCCTGTATTGACCGGACCCTGTACCAAGCGGAATCCTGTATTGACCGGACCCTGTACCAAGCGGAATCCTGTATTGACCTGACCCTGTACCAAGCGGAATCCTGTATTGGCCGGACCCTGTACCAAGCGGAATCCTGTATTGGCCGGACCCTGTACCAAGCGGAATCCTATATTGGCCGGACCCTGTACCAAGCGGAATCCTGTATTGGCCGGACCCTGTACCAAGCGGAATCCTGTATTGACCGGACCCTGTACCAAGCGGAATTCTGTATTGACCGGACCCTGTACCAAGCGGAATTCTGTATTGACCTGACCCTGTACCAAGCGGAATTCTGTATTGACCGGACCCTGTACCAAGCGGAATTCTGTATTGACCTGACCCTGTACCAAGGAGAATCCTGTGTTGGCCGGACCCTGTACCAAGCGGAATCCTGTATTGACCTGACCCTGTACGAAGCGGAATCCTGTATTGACCTGACCCTGTACCAAGGGGAATCCTGTGTTGGCCGGACCCTGTACCAAGCAGAATCCTGTATTGACCGGACCCTGTACGAAGCGGAATCCTGTATTGACCGGACCCTGTACCAAGCGGAATCCTGTATTGGCCGGACCCTGTACCAAGCGGAATCCTGTATTGGCCGGACCCTGTACCAAGCGGAATCCTGTATTGACCGGACCCTGTACCAAGCGGAATTCTGTATTGACCTGACCCTGTACCAAGCGGAATTCTGTATTGACCGGACCCTGTACCAAGCGGAATTCTGTATTGACCTGACCCTGTACCAAGGGGAATCCTGTGTTGGCCGGACCCTGTACCAAGCGGAATCCTGTATTGACCTGACCCTGTACGAAGCGGAATCCTGTATTGACCGGACCCTGTACCAAGCGGAATCCTGTGTTGGCCGGACCCTGTACCAAGCAGAATCCTGTATTGACCGGACCCTGTACGAAGCGGAATCCTGTATTGACCGGACCCTGTACCAAGCGGAATCCTGTATTGACCTGACCCTGTACCAAGCGGAATCCTGTATTGACCTGACCCTGTACCAAGCGGAATCCTGTATTGACCTGACCCTGTACCAAGCGGAATCCTGTGTTGGCCGGACCCTGTACCAAGCGGAATTCTGTATTGACCTGACCCTGTACCAAGGAGAATCCTGTGTTGGCCGGACCCTGTACCAAGCGGAATCCTGTATTGACCTGACCCTGTACGAAGCGGAATCCTGTATTGACCTGACCCTGTACCAAGGGGAATCCTGTGTTGGCCGGACCCTGTACCAAGCAGAATCCTGTATTGACCGGACCCTGTACGAAGCGGAATCCTGTATTGACCGGACCCTGTACCAAGCGGAATCCTGTATTGGCCGGACCCTGTACCAAGCGGAATCCTGTATTGGCCGGACCCTGTACCAAGCGGAATCCTGTATTGACCGGACCCTGTACCAAGCGGAATTCTGTATTGACCTGACCCTGTACCAAGCGGAATTCTGTATTGACCGGACCCTGTACCAAGCGGAATTCTGTATTGACCTGACCCTGTACCAAGGGGAATCCTGTGTTGGCCGGACCCTGTACCAAGCGGAATCCTGTATTGACCTGACCCTGTACGAAGCGGAATCCTGTATTGACCGGACCCTGTACCAAGCGGAATCCTGTGTTGGCCGGACCCTGTACCAAGCAGAATCCTGTATTGACCGGACCCTGTACGAAGCGGAATCCTGTATTGACCGGACCCTGTACCAAGCGGAATCCTGTATTGACCTGACCCTGTACCAAGCGGAATCCTGTATTGACCTGACCCTGTACCAAGCGGAATCCTGTATTGACCTGACCCTGTACCAAGCGGAATCCTGTGTTGGCCGGACCCTGTACCAAGCAGAATCCTGTATTGACCGGACCCTGTACCAAGCGGAATCCTGTGTTGGCCGGACCCTGTACCAAGGGGAATCCTGTGTTGGCCGGACCCTGTACCAAGCAGAATCCTGTATTGACCGGACCCTGTACCAAGCAGAATCCTGTATTGACCGGACCCTGTACCAAGCGGAATCCTGTGTTGGCCGGACCCTGTACCAAGGGGAATCCTGTGTTGGCCGGACCCTGTACCAAGCAGAATCCTGTATTGACCGGACCCTGTACCAAGCAGAATCCTGTATTGGCTGGACCCTGTACCAAGCAGAATCCTGTATTGACCGGACCCTGTACCAAGCGGAATCCTGTGTTGGCCGGACCCTGTACCAAGCAGAATCCTGTATTGACCGGACCCTGTACCAAGCGGAATCCTGTATTGACCAGACCCTGTACCAAGCGGAATCCTGTATTGACCAGACCCTGTACCAAGCGGAATCCTGTATTGGCCGGACCCTGTACCAAGTGGAATCCTGTATTGGCCGGACCCTGTACCAAGCGGAATCCTGTATTGACCAGACCCTGTACCAAGCGGAATCCTGTATTGGCCGGACCCTGTACCAAGCGGAATCCTGTATTGACCGGAAGAATTGTCATGCACTAAATTGCTCTGCATTTAACCTGCATCCCTGGATGAATCAAGAGTACAATCGATTCAGACATGGCCACACCACATTTCGGCATGTGTATTCTTGATTGCTCTAATTGAATTGCTTTCTCCACGCCGTCTTTTTTCATCCCCGGATCAAGAGGAATCTTGACATATCAGGACAGTTTCCGCTGCACCAAGGGCGTCCGGTTAGGGCAGGTTTTACCGTAGTGGTAGTGGTGGTACATGTAGTAGTAGAGCATGAGCTCACTCTCACTCTCCCTGCCGGGTGTGTAGTGTGTACTGCATGCTGTGTGTGATAAGAACCTTGGCTGTATCATGGAATTGCTAGTGCCGTACATACTGCTTGCCTGTACTGGATGTGATTGGCTTGAAATGGGAGTACGATCTGGTTCATTGTGCAATTTGGATGTGGGCTAACAGTGTGTGATATGCTCTTCTTTCTGCACTGTCTTCCACCCAGTGTACAGTGCGGTAGGCCTGGCAGTGTCTGAACTGTACGATGAGATCAACTTTGCTGAATGGTTTGAGCAGCGCTTGCAACACGAACTGCTGCAGAGCACGTAAGCATGCACGCTCCTAGTGCAACGGTCCAAGCCCTGTGAATACGAAACCAACCCTCACATGCACACACGCTTGTATGTTTACACACACACACACACACACACACACACACACACACACACACACACACACGCACACGCACACTTAGTCTTTGACAGCTTCTGGTGGCTCAGCTGACCTCGACCGGAAAGAGCCACTTCTGATTTATTAACTGTGTGCGCATACACGCCTACAACACCAAGTAAAGTTGTATGTGATTACGTCTTTCAAACATTCCTGTGCTCTGCTGGTTATTGCTATCCCCAGATCGAAATACCTCCGGCGGAGAATTATCTGGCTGATAGGTCAATGGGCAGATGTGAACGTCAGTCAACAGCTCAGACCTACCATTTATCCTCATCTAATGCAGCGCCTGTCAGCAGATGAAGACCTTGTTGTAAGTATACGTCGCTCTCTTCCTGCCTGGTTACTGAGCGCATGTTTTAGTTTTTGTAATGTGTCCTCGAAGATCGTACATCTGTAGTACATGCTGCGTTTTTAAATCACCTTAACCACACACGCGGTTCAGTGGAAGAAATCCCGTCCATCTCTACGCAGAGTGTCATGCCGCCACATAATCATCAAGAGACTATTATTTTGACTATTTTACTCTCCTCATGAGTGCGTAACAGCAT